CTTTTTACATAATACACTAATACTTACATAACTGGCCCACTTGATCGCAAGCATTCGATCCTCTTGCTTATGTTTTCCGATGATGTAGAGCAGAATGTAGTATTTTGTAATCTTGATTTTTATCTTTATTAACGTAAGTTGAAATGCTATTTTATTATAAATGTTTTTATTGAATACATTTCGGAGAGTTTGCGTAGGACTTTTGAACATTGTTCCTTCTTTGATCAACTAGAACATAGGTTTCCAAACTTTTTCAATGACCACCCAATAAAGGCAAGGCAAAAAATTTCAACGCCGACCACCACAAAAAATAATTGAAAACACGTCTTTTTTATATTAACTTAACATAAAAAATGACAAGGAAATAGTTATTTGTTATGCAAGGCTGCAAAGCTGAAACCTGAGCAAGCGAAGGGTCCTAGAATTGAACCACGAGAGAAGTGAGTGGTTCAAAAATAGAATCCTGGGCGTAGGGAGGGTTTCAAGACACGAAACGCAAAACAACTTTCCTGCCGAGCGAAACACACTACTGCGAAACACACTACTTTTTACCTCATTATAGCGAGGAAAATGGTAGATGAAAGAAAAACAGTTGAACTTATAACAAATTAGTTTTCCATCATCGCTAGACTCAGACTCGCTCATGTTTTGTTTCTTTTCAATTTATTACAGTACAATCCAATCCAACCTACTGATGTAAAAAAAAAATTTTTTTAATAACTTAGTTTTGGATACGTTCTCAATTTACACTTTATGCGTTTTCTTCTTCTTTGTACTTATAATTTTATGTGATTAACGAAATCATGTTAGTTCTTCGTCAAATTAAAATAATCTAATTAAACAAAATTAGTGTTATCGTTGTCAATTTGATGTCAATTATCAGAATAAATTATACTAACGGTTTAATATTATATAAATAATGTACGACAAATCGCGTATTTGAAATGTCATTATGTTTTTTTTATCGGAAGAAAAAGTTACGTGCACCACAGTCCATGGTCAAGTTCGAATTTCAAAAATCTTTTCCACGCTAGAGTGCAAAAAACTCTTTTGCGCGCAGGTTTCTAATTGAGAATTATTTTTTAATAAAAGTTTTGGCTTGGATACAAGTCCTTTGAGCCATGTCTTCGTTTATATTTTCCATTGTAGTTCTAATACATTATGTTTCCACTTTCTCCTTAATAACTTAGTTCTCTTGTTTGAATTTTCTAAATAGTCTTTTAAGCAACGGAAGTCAATATTTATGCTTTGACTTTCACTTAATTATTGTCACTATGAACAAAAACTTTGAATTCGTAATAAGTGGAATTTTCAGGATAAAATCTCTTGTAGTTTAGTTTAAAATAAGAAATATAGTTGTAACTTTCTTCATCACTATTTCTTTCTTCGTATTTTCTTCAAAATATACTTAAAATAAAAATAATCTTTGTAAAAATTTGTAACTTCAAAAGCCCGCCATTTTTTCTCTAATGAAAAAGAAAGGCTTTCCGAACTAGTGAGGTGAAAAAAAAAGTAGTGTAGTTTAATATAACATTTATTTTTATTTTAGATTTTTCTTTACATTTTTCCACAATTTCACCTAATGGAAAGTGAAGATGCAGACTAGGATGTCTCACGCTCCGCTTAGCCAGAGATGCCGGTTTAGTCTGACCTTAATTTTATTATTATCTAGGTTGTATCGCTCGAGGAATAACGAATACGGTAAAAAGTACTACGCTTTACTTGTATACATGAGAAACTATAGTCGACACGTTGGCCCATTTTCAGCGGTAAAAACAAATTTCCTTTATGTACTTATGGAGGACGAGTAATTTTACCTAACCCAACCTAACTTAAAAAAAATATATCACGGTAAAGGGGCTCTGCATTAAAGCTTCTTTCCTTTTTAACCGATTAGAAAAAGAGGAGGTTCTCTTGTTTTTTATATATATACGCGATGACTCCGACATTTGTGAGCCGATTTCGATAATTCTTTGTGTTAGAAAGGAGATGCTCAGCAGTGAACCCATTCAAAATTGAAGAAAATATTCCATCTCTAAGGGTGGCAAATCAAGGGATGAATCCTGTTTATTGGATTTCACCCACTTTACCTTCCAATAATTAATATTGAGGTCGTTTTTTTATATAAAAATGTTATTATTACTAATGAAGTTGTTAGTATAGACGAGAAGAGAGAGCCTTAAAAATTTTACTATACACCTTTTTTAAACACTTTGTATATGTATAAAAACAATTCACAAAAGTAACGAGACACACTTTATAAGAATGGAAAATCCATTGATATAGAGTTTTCCTCTAACATTCTACAACTATAATGTATACATTCTTCGTAACGTTATTAATCATGGAATATTTATTTCACCTACCTAGGAATATAACACAACAATGCAGATAATAAGTGCAGGCTTGTATAGAAGTAAATGCCTTTACAATTATATAAAATTGTTTCCGATAAGATCTTGAAGCCGTGTGCGTCATGGTGTGCAATCATTCCGTACAATGTTAATTTCAGCTTGTCATCCAAATTGCACATCTTAACAATACGCCTGAAGCTCATTTTTCTAAGATTTTGTTACAATAAAATTAAAACCTACTAAGCAGGTAATGAGAAACTTCTTGGAATCTCTCATTTATTCAATTATACGGGGTTATTTAACATGTCAATTGTAACGTCAGCAATAAGAATAAGATATACCATCGGTGGTGGTGTTATATTACATAAATAATGTACGAATCGCTTAGTTGATCGAGTCCTTATGATTTATTTTCCATCGAAAGAAAAAGTTAGGTGCACCACAGTCCATCATCAAGTTCGAATTTCAAAATCATTTCCCAGACTAGCGTTGAAAAAACGTTTTTGACGTGAGAAAGAAACATTTCCGAGCTAGTGCGGTGAAACAACTTTTTCACTTTTGTTTACGATGTTAGTAATACAGTTCTGCGAGGTTGTTAGTACTTTACAAATAACCCTGCATAATATATCGATACGTCCAATGAACACTACGCCAACTTTATTTTTTGGTTATTCATTTTCTGTTATTTTTGTAAACAGCCATATTTATTTACTAATATTATGCTCCCCGAATTTTGTGAAAAAAATAAAGAAAAAAACAAAATCCGAAAAAAGACGAAATACGAATTTGTGAGAATAAATAAAGAAACAAAACACAACAGGTGCAAAAATTAGGGTGACGTAGTGTTCATTGGAATTAAGGCCACATTTGTAAAACGACAACTTTTCTGAGAGAGGTTTTATGATTCTAGGAATTAAATTACTCGGTAATTTTTACATGCTTAAATAGGAGAGTTATAAAATTTCACATACACATAATTTGTTTCTTGTAGTTAGTATTATTTTTATCACCTTCACGTGATAAAAGCACTTTTAACGTATGATCCCATGTGGCTTTATTATACCAAGGGTACGGGTATATCTCTGAGCATTATTCTGGGTACTTTTGTTAGGCCTCATTACTTTTTAATAATATTTTCTTTAGCCCATAAACGGATATAATGATTTTGCGAGAATGCCATTTTATAACGATGAATACAACCTTTTCAATCAATTACATAAATATAACAAGGTTTCATAAGGTGCATGCATAGTTACTTTTTTGTGTGTTACATAGCAAAACAAATAAACTTGATTCATAACGTAAGTATTGACTGTCAAATTTATAAACACAATCTATTTATATAAATTGATTTTGCTACTACTTTTGTCAAAACCTAATAAGTATGACGAGAGTTTTAATAACGTTAAAGTATCTACTTAAATCGGCAATAGAAAAATGTACTCATCTTGATCTAAAGTTATGATTCACTTCCCTTCGTGTTTACTTAGCGCAATAAATTATACACACTTGAGTTTGAAATCTTCATATTCTACAGTCTATATTTTAATAAATAGATGCCTATATTCTCTATTAGTTGAATAGTAAATTTCATAAAATGCTCTATATTATGCAACATTTAGTAAATGTCACCTGGAAAACGTTAGTAGCAGTAGAGCTCCTTGCGAAAAAGTGCGTAGATACTGCCATCTTACCTATTTCTGCCGCCAAACAGTATTATGAACTTTACAACGTTCCGGTTTAGAAGGATACGGGTGCTGGTGAAATAACAGGCATATGGAACTTGTCAACTTATATCTCCAGGTGACGGGCGCTGTGACAGTGCTATGAGATCTTTGTGATTTAAAGCTCGGAGTGACGTTGCACCTGTAGCAGACTTGTCGCATACCAACAGGCGCACGACTTGTTCGTGCCATCAAAAAAACATATTCCACAAAATTCTAAAGCCAATAGTAGTCATTCGGAGAAAGACGTCTAGGGTTGTGGAATAATTACCTAGTAGCCGTTGCGTATAATTTTACTGCAGCTACCTGCTTCTTTATAACTCTGTATAATAATAACGAAGTAGTAGTATTAGAAGTAGTAGGTAGCAGTAAATAAAAATACCTGCTTTTTTGCTACTATTAAAAGACATGCCAAAACTATGTCAGTGGTAAACATAGCAAACGCTGTCGTATTTACATCTAAGTACTCGAATTAGAACATAAATCTTAGAATACAAAAACATCGCTTAGGTACAAAGCGAATTTGTTTTTTAGTTTTTGTCTTACCTCGATTTTTCCAGGTGATTCTGGCAAGGACAAATAACATCAAAATCAACCAGAGTTAATGAGAAATAATTCTAATTATTTCTTTGCCTCTGGGTTTTGGAACCAAAAAACATAATTGTAGATAATGTGCGCTGACGCATTTCATGTGAGATTTATTTTGGTATAATTCAGAATAGTAAATAAGTAACTTGTATTGAATGTTGTCACTAATTTATAACCTCATATCGTTGGAAATCTAAATTACATTCCAAAATATAAATATTTTTATCGACAAATGAGACAAAACTGAGCTAGAGGCAGAAGTCGTGTACCTACAGATCGACGTCCGCGATGTAAAAATAGAAATCCTGAGTGATCGCTACCAACGCGTGCGCCGGCTTTCCAACGCACTCACTTCTAACCTAGTGCCATATTTCCAGTAATTTTCTTTCGGATAACAATATACGTGAACATACATTCAATCAAGATTTACTTTAAACAGTGTACGAAAATAAGAAGCAGTCTCAGAATAACCAAAAATGTCTCAAGACAACGAAGGATTCTTTAAAAAATTCCACGAAACAGTAAACAGCTCTATAGACGACGTCACAAGAAACAATTTCGCTAATTTAGAGTCCAACTCCAAACGTGTTTCGTACTTGTGCAGTCTTCCAGTAATAAAGAATTATGACTTGTCTCCAGACTTAGAAAAATATAAAGCGAACGGCAGTTTTCCAGTGGTAAAAGACTTCGAAAAGGCAAAAAAGTTGAAAGATGAAGGAAATAAAGCAGTGCAGAAAGGTGACTGGGCCAAAGCGATGCAGCTGTACAGTCAAAGCATGATTTACATGCCGAAGAAAGAAAGTAAGTGTTTGGTATTCAATGTTAGATAAACACATGTGATAAATTGAACTATATAAGTACTACTTAAGATGTTTATTGAGAGCAATCACAGACAGACACAGATGTTTAATTAATAGATTCAGGCGTTACTCTGCAGAAATACATGTTAATAAAAATGGAATTAGCCAAATTAATTTGCTATTCCGCGAACCCAGTGACGGTTAAATTTTTCGAAGAATACAATACACATGCATGTATTATTCCTCAGAGAGAGGCAAAACACGTGTCGAGTATACTTCTGGTGGTGGTATTTGTGACTGTAGTTGCGCTTGTGTTATATATTTTTTAAACTTTATGCGGGGGGGAGGGTGGGAATATATTAACTGGATGAAAAAAAATCAATACAAGCTCAGCTATTTTGCATGATTTAACATTCGGGTTCGCGGAATAGTAAATTAATTTACTTCCATTTTTACCTACATATTTGTCGATGGTTTTAACAAACTTTATTTTTCCACAGCGGAAGAGTTGTCAATAGTGCTGGCAAATCGGTCAGCAGCACTGAACCACTTGGAGCAATATGAAGATACACTGGATGACATCAAGCGTTGTCTATCACTCGGATACCCACGCCACCTGCGCTATAAGGTGTACGAGAGAAAGGCACGGTCGCTGCTCGTGCTGAAGAGGAATAAGGAAGCTATAACAGCTTTTCAGTAAGTCATATTTCGCAAAAGCCTGACAAATTCATGGAACCCTAAGTTCGCCACAAAAAAGTAACTGAGGAATTCACATTTACATTTTCGAAACTATCATATTATATTCCAGGGACACAATTAGCGCTCTCGATGAAGCAACGAAACTTGACAAAGAGAAGAGAACAAAATTGCGCACCGACGCCAAGCTTATGATAGAAATCCTCAATAAAGGACTTGTATTGGCTGGTAACCCAAAAGATCCTGAATCTACAAAGAAGATTCCTCCCAAACCAAAACTCCCTGGAAAACACAATTCTCAATACCCTGCTGCATCGGAAGCTATACAAATAGATCAAGACGAAATCCGGGGAAGATTTGCTACTGCGACCAGAGACATTGAAGCGGGGGAAATCTTATTGATAGAAAGACCACATAGTGGAGTGCTTTTGGGGGAATATACGAAGACCCATTGTCAAAACTGCTTCATTAAGTAAGTTTAAGGCAATCACTTATGTTAATTCATGTATTTCAAAAACATAGATTATTCTTAATATGGATTTTTATATTGTTCTTGCAGATGTCCAATTCCGCTTCCATGTCCAAACTGCCCGAACGTAATATTTTGTAGCGATAAGTGCTTAGAGATTGCCCAAAAGTCCTATCATGCCTATGAATGCCATATTCTTCCTCTTTTATGGAAATCAGGGTGCTCTGTAACGTGCCACATAGCTTTAAGATTGATAACACAGAATAATAAAGACTATTTTACAAGCATCAATCCCAATTTAGAACAAAAACCAAGTGGTCCTTATAAGACTGATGATTACCGAAATATATACCATTTGGTTTCTCACGAAGAGAAAAGGACTAAACAAGACCTATTGCAGAGAACTGAAATGGCTAGTTTTTTGGTGAAACTGTTGGAGATTAGTGGATATTTTGATGGGAAACCAAGAACAACCCCGGTAGATATTAACGAAATAAAATCAATGGCAGTTAATGATAAGTACAAAGTTGATGTTGGTGTTTTCGGGGGTTTGATACTGGTGAATCTTCAAATCTTACAATTCAATGCGCACGAAGTATTTGAGTTGCAATGTCCGAAGCCCAAAGTTGGAAAGAATGTGATCAAGCATGAAGGCAAATCCACGTTTTTGGCTGGTGCCGTATTTCCGACGCTTGCCTTATTTAACCACTCCTGTGATCCTGGCGTGGTCAGGTAACCTTTACCAAGAAGCTTTCATAAGTTTCAAATCGTCTCGTTTTAAATCGATCTTTTTACTTTTACTTGAGAACTAGGAGCTCACTGTTTCTAAATTGTTATTTTAGGTACTTCTGTGGTCTCCACATTGTGGTCCGTGCGGTAAAGAACATAAAAAAAGGTAACGAAGTGTCTGAGAACTACGGTCCTATTTTCACCACGGTGAAGAAGGACAGGAGGCAGGCGGAACTGAGGGATCAATATTGGTTCGATTGCCGCTGCGGGCCTTGTGAGCAGAACTGGCCTACATATGACGAAATGAACGAAACCTACCTCAGATTTAAGTGAGTACTTAATAATTATTGCACATAACTGTTTGTACGATGAAGCATCATTAGTCTTCACTGCGTTTACTTTTTGTACAGGAACAACGTAACTAAAACAACATAAATAAAATCAACACTTGCACTTAATGAGCGATTAAAAGGAATAATGTTGAAATTGAAACACAATTTACGAAATTTTCTATTCATAATAAGATGTAGAGTGTCGAGTTTAACCGCTGGGTTTGCTGGTGTAAACGCTTAGACTATTTAAAGTGCAGTGTTCCGTCTACTATACCCTTTAAGTCGAGCATGTGGTTATATACCCCAATTCAAGAGCAACAGCTTCTAGACTCAGATAAACATAAAGGCGTGTTCAAATTAGCCGCTGTTAGAAGCGTTGCAGCCGTGTGGTGGCCGCGCGACTATCGCGCTGCTGAAGTGCGAACACATTTTTAGTTATGTTTTTTCTTACGACTCAGTGGATTCTGACGAAGAAACATTACTTTTACCTAGTTCTTAGGGCACACACTTCACATACAGGTATTAAAAATGTTACCTGCTATGTTTTTTCAGTTGTAGTTTCAGTTTCAAAATTGTCAATAAATTTTTGACATAAATTTTCCTATGCTTTCTATGCTTGATTTCCTATGCCTATTTTTTTATCCAGTCGATTGGAATAACTGACGGAACTGCTGTCCCATATTGCAGGGTGTTTTACATTCTCTATAAATTCTTCAATTCGATTTCCATCGTGATTAATTTGAAAAATTAGCATGTAGGTACACCTCACTAACCGTGGCTGCAACCGAACGTGACTGCAGTGCGACTGACGCGAGGTCGCAGTGCTTCTAGAAATTGTACGGAAAGTGACAGTCGCGCGGCCACGGCGGCCGCCGGGAGGCTGCAGCGCGTCTAACAGCTGCTAATTTGAACGTGGCCTTACTTAGCATCATAGAAATAACATAAAACTTTGAACGACACGAAGACAGCTTGCTATTGCCCACTTTGCAGATGTGACTCAGATCGTCCGTGTCCGAATGTAATTGCAGTTCAACCGGACTGCAAAGAGTTTATGGTGCAATGTGGTCTCTGTCAGCAGTATACCAATATTCTGAAGGGACTCAAATCTTTGCAGGTAAGGATATACGTAAAGAGTTACAGTCAAGAGGACACCAAGTTGACACTTTGGATTTTGGACCGTTTAGGCATCTCAAGCGTCATAGAGTTGAATTTAAAACTTAAATGACGTACTCTTGACCCTGTACAACAAAGATGGCTAGTATCTAATTTAATTGATCTTTGAGCGGTTACTCACGGCGACTTGCAGCAGCGATGCAGTCGCTAATCGTCTACCTTTACACATGTGCGATTTTAAGCAGCGTTGCAAATGCGCGATTGCATCGTTACACTTGGGATTTATAGGCGATTGCATCGATGCAATCGCGCGTTTGTAACAATGCAGGCGTGCGTTTCGAAAGTGACCATGTGTAGTAGAGTGGTTATTCTTCTTTGTAATGACAAAGGTAAATTCTGTCCAAATTCGTTGTGTAAATATTGTACCGTAAATTTGCAGTTTTTAAACTATATTGACAGTTAAAATTGTAAAAGTAGGTAAATAGCTTAATCTGTGACTACATGTACCTACAAGGCAAGTAGGTAGGTAGAAGTAAGTACACTGCAAAATACGTTCCCAGAAGTTAACAGCCAAATTAAATTGTGGCGTACCACCATAAAAACCACGTGGTAGCCTTAACCGTAGCGTGGATTAATGGATTAACCTACCGCCTATGAAATGGGAGCCCTATGGAAGTACCACCTTTCCAACAAAAAAAGAATCATGAAAATCGGTTCACAAATACCGGAGTTATCGCGTAACATACAAAAAAAACAGTCGAATTGAGAACCTCCTCCTTTTTTGAAGTCGGTTAACAATAATATTTGTATAAAGATCGACAACTAAGAAAAAATTGTTTCGATCCGGCTGGATTCGAACCACTGTCTTCCAGCAAACCGTGGCAGACGGTATGCAATACAGCCACGGTGCGAAATAGCGGACTTTACGAATTTTTCTATGTGCTTGTTACAAACCTTCGTTTTTTTTGACGACTCTTTTGCCATAGCGCCATCGCCAGCCGAGTAAAGAAATAGATTTCTCACAAATGCCATACTTTTTCCCAGAAGGTAGAATTTTGTGGATCCACTATAAAGGAATCAGCTGTATTTTATACACGTTCAGGACTTGATAGATTAATTCATAAAAGTATGCAATAACGTTACCTCTTACCAACCAATGTTTCAATAAATAAATTAATAAACCAGTCACTCCATCTAAATTGATTTAACATTACATCGACCGGCACAAGATCAACACGTATTCTAAATCTTATTGCAGGTACATTAACATCTATTTCGCATTAGCGGAAGCATAGATATTCGTAAAGCAAATATTTTATATGCTGTAATTCGCAAGTCAGATGAAACTATTTATAGATTAGTACGTCGTGTATCCGCTTATTATATTATGAAGCATATGAAAATTGTTCAACAAAGTTGGTGCGGTAATGAGATGGCAGACAATAATAAATTGAAAGAAAATTATTAGAACAAACATGAAGAACGCCAATTTTCCGTCGTTCTCAAGTGATCATATTGTAGTGAAAATAACTTTTAAAATTGTCATATTTTTTCATCGGTGGTGACGGCATTTGTGTTATAAAAATAAGCATAATGCTAAGTAGCGAATTTTCAGCATATTGACTTTTAACGCTGTTTCATATAGAATTCTAAGGGTCGTATTCTAGAACTCTACTCAATGCTCAAGTCAGGATTGCACTGGAAACACAAGCACTGGAAATACGACCCTAATGGCAGGGACTTGAGTATGATTTCGAGTACCATAAAACCATACTCAAATCCTGACTTGAGCATTGAGAAGAGTTCTAGAATACGAAAATAAGTTAATAATGTATTTTGTAGTAGCAGTACAGCTCCTTATAAGAGTTCGTCCAGGGAAGTACTGCCACGTTACCTATTTCTGCCGCCAAGCAGTAATGTGGGCATTACAATGTTCCGGTTTTCAAGAGTAAGGGTGCTAGTAAAATTACAGGCACATGGGACTTGTCAACTTTTATCTCCGGGTGACGGGCGCAGTGGCAGTGCCCCTCAATTTTTGCGATTGTGGGGCACTGCACCAGCTATAGACAGGCGCGTCGCTTACCACCAGACACACGATTTGTTCGTGTCGTCACTTGGTACCAGACAAAAAATTGTTGGTCACGTATTTTCAGGAAATGCTTAAAGAAACAATAGATAAGACGAACGTTATTTAAATTTTTATTTGTTGAATATACATGAGGTTACGGCCAACTGCCTAAAGCGCAAAAAGAACCAGTCAGATATGCGATCTCTACAGTACCGGCGGCCATAGATACGTTTATACATTTCTAGTATAAAAAGCGAACATTTGGCCTTACGCAACCATTGCTAAACCAGTTTTCACAAGACCTTTTTATACTGGTAGAGTATATCTCATTGTGTGGTGATAATGTAAAAAATACATATAAAAACATAATTTTATTGTTTTAAACTGTCGACAGTAGGTAACATTAGAATAAGTACATATTTTCATATCTACAAGGAAAACCAAAATCATATGATTCTTAGTACATCTCAGTAACAACTAAAGTAATATAAGGCTCCGTCTACTGAATTTGCGGATCCAATACATATTTTGTACTTTGGTCAATGTAATAAAGGACATCTTGTCTTAAATATTTTAATTATGCTGCCTTGTTATAATAACTAACGTAATCGTAACATTTTTGGCGAAATTGGATTATTAACATAAAGGGATCAGCAAAACGAGATCTACAACCCTCTCTAGTCGGTTTTTTTTATATCTTATTTAAGGTCGCAGTATCACGGAGACAGGACGGGAACGGGCAATATATCGTCGACGATAACATTTTTCGCGTCCCGACCGTCAACAACTGAGTTCAGTTGTCGACAGATATCTTTTCATTTTCATTCACAACACCCGAATCGAACGTCAAACTGTCGTATTCGAAACCGAACCGAAATGACGGCAAACCCGTACGATTACTCGAACTTCTCGACCGGCAAAAGCTACAAACGTTATTCAGAACACAGTTATCGAATGAAAGTTACCGAACTTCCTTTGTTTACAAAGCAAGAATGTGATATGGAAATCTCTTATTATTTGAAATAAAGTCTGGATTTTGTTCAATTTTATTAATTTATTTTAATGCAATACTAATGCATGCTTCCTATATTTTAGGCCTTTAAAGTCTTAAAATTGTATATAAAAGAATTTACATTTTTCTTGTAATCTATTTCTAACTCCGGAAACGCTGTTGGATAGCTCGAAATGGTCTGAATAGCTCGGAAAGCGCCCATCGATTCGAGAACGATGTGCAATCGAACGATTCGCTTCAAATATCGAAGAGTTCTGAATCGGGGTCCTGTTCCTGTCGCGTAAAGTTTAATACTATGTTTTATATATAACGATATTAACAATAAATTCCGTGCCTTACGGGACGGAAATAATCACGTTACGTATGCTGCGACCTTTAATTTCAGTTAAAATCCGCGTCATTAAAATTTAATATCTCGAAGTTACCGAAATGCGTTAGTTATGACAAGGAGGACGGTATGACTCTCTTTATTAAAAAACCATATTGAGATCGATTGATTAATATCTGATGTCCCTTAGAAGACTATCATAGGGGCGTGAGAATGAGTTTTAAATCTAATTACGATAGCCTAGTGGCTGATATTCTATTTTTCCTACTAAGATTTTTTTAGCTTCCGACTTTTCTTGGAGAATTCAGTCAGTGTCTAATCAGTCATGGGAATTACACTTTGGATTGAGTTTTTTTAAAATTATGTGTATAGAATTAACACTGCTCTTTAGAATTTAAAATTGAAACAGTGGTTGCTGTCAAACGTTCGGGATGCCTCAACCAATATGCTATGCATGCTTCAATAGCAAGTTGACTCAAGCCAAAAAACTCAACTTTTTGAGTTTTCTTATGGGCGCATGATAAATATTTCTGATTCATAATAAATACATTATATTAAACATATACGGGGTTATTTTTAAAATACTAACAACCTTCCAGGACGTATATATTTCTGCGAGGTTGTTTATTTTTTCCATGACTTTCAATAATGTAACAGATTTCATTTTTATACAAAAATAAATAGATTTATATTATAATATTAATTATAATAATAATAATAACGCACACACTCAACATACTAGCACTAGGGAAACCCTGTGTCGCGGGTGCCATGTACACACACATAGACAACCACAAATTACACCCAAACTCACGAGAGAAATAAATGTAGGCCATACAAATATTTCTCCCGGTCCGGGAATCGAACCTGGAACCTCCGGGTGGCACCGTTAACCGTTCAGCCACAGAGGCAGTTTATCGATAAATATAGATCGCTCTAAATGGTAATAACTCTGCGCAGGACGGGGGTGGGGTCATCGCAGAGGACGGTTGCACGTTTGAACTTATTCTAACAAATGTAGATCTAAAAGTGTCAGATAGTACAACAAAAACATAAAAGTTTATTTTTGGTAAATTTCTTATGTTTTGTCAAAAGTCATGGAACAAAAGTAACCCTGTATATGAACACAGAAATATGTAATTAAATAGAATACAAAAAATAATGTTATTGAAAAGATTCAATTACATTATAAATGTATAATAGATAAGTACTTATTATAATAACTAGTTAATTAAATAACAGGCATTTTAGACTTTTCAACTTTTGTCTCAGGGTGACAGGCGCAGTGGCAGTACCCCTCATATCTTTGCGATTTAAAACTCAGAGCGGTGCTGCAACTGCTATAGACAGGCATAGTCGCGTACCAACAGATGCACGACTGGTTCGTCCCGTCACTTGGTATTTGTCGAAGCTACAAGCTTTCTTATTCAATACTATACAGATTATGTTAACAAAGAGTAACTGCGTCATATGATACCCTGCTGGGCCCATAAGTGTACTTTTTCTACTCCTGTACTAAAGTACTCTTATTAATTATAATTTCATAAAACATATCAGAAAGGTGCTCTTTTTAGTTCTGAATCAAATTTTTATTGTCTATAGTATTCGCCACTGAGCTGAAAAAATTCATTAAAGTTCTGTACACGGAACTATAATGAATATTATAGTACTATACATGGAACTATAATGAGCTTCAAAAAATAGAACGTCTTTTTTTTTTCTAATTAAAATATCAAATATGACGCTACTCAATAGCTATACTGCCTCCTGATTTGTGAAATTGGCCTAAAAGTCTTGCAACTGGGCCATAAGTGATTGGTTAATATACATGCGGTTCTTGACCAGTTCTATTCTATCTCGTTGGTTTTTTGTTTTGTAGCCTTAGTTTGATTTTTGTCTAAATATATGACGAGGCTGTATGGTGGAACCTTTGCCAACCCTATTAGAAATTTAAAAAAATGCGTTTCGTTATCATGGAATGTTAACAAAATATACATTATATATTAGTTCCGTTTCATTATTTTATTTACTCGTAGAAAAGTATTATTATGCAATTATTATATAAATAGGTCTTAAAATCTCGTACCTATTACTTAGGCCACTCGGCATGAAGAACCCTCATCATGCAAAGATTGCATAAAATATTATTAAATGATTGCAACATCTATTGACTTAAAGATAGCAATATGTTGATTCCAATTTAAAAAAAAAAATTAATTACGCCGGAAGTTAGGCTGGTTTCACAGCTGTGCGTACGGTCCGTACGGACTGTCCGCCTGCGTAGAACTAGTAATAGTACTCGATTCAGAACACTGCGGTGTTCTGAATCGAGTATTAAATCTACTTGACTTATGTGCTTTAGTCCGCCGACCTTTTAGTGCGGATATTCATAGAAGACAGTCGCCTACAATGAACGCACAGGTGGCTTGTGCAAAGTTCACGCGGAGCGTGTTCCGTACAGAGCAATCCGCGTCACTGTATAATGGTGTTCTAAAGTGTTACTTCGCTCCGGTGCAACGCGCGGACGGTCCGCAGATAAATGCGCACTACTCGGAAACCAACCAGCTTTAGGCTCAATTTATATTGAGGCGGAACGGAACTTTTTGTAACGATATTGTACATAGCATAATGGTTAATTGTGTAGGTACCTAACGTACAAACTAGGTACAATCTAAAATGTTCCGCAGAATACTCGCGAATGTGTGAGCTTTCTCGAGAATACGCGATAATTCCGCAGAAGAAATTTGCTTCCATTCCGTTCCGCCAGTTGAGCTTTAGTGTTAAGTCACTTTTAACCACTGATCGGTGCGGTATTTATTGAAATACACATCAGTCAATTTCTCACTTGTCATTTTTGAGCAGCATCAGTGTTTAAACCAAAAACATTTTTTTTAATATAACAATTATTTAAGTGATAATACATACTCGGAAAGACAGAATATCAAAGGTGCTACCTACCTACCTATCTATACTTTAGGTTCAATCAAGCTTCCCTAATACATATAAACGCCGTAACATATGGTGTAACAAAATATAGAGTCATTTCGGTAATGACTGGCAGCATAGTCGTCGGTCTCGGGGTCCCATATACAACGTTGGGCGCATTTCGCCCCCGCTCCTTTCATTTCCATTATTGTTGTTTGTGCCATTATTTTGTACCTGAAACAATATTTGATAAAAATTATAGTGGGTTATCCTTCTAAAAAGTAAAGACAAGGCAGTTGAACAAGTCTCACCAATTCGTACCAAAGCATTCGACAAATACACAAAAAACCTAATCCAATTTTTTTAGGTAAAATTGATAAAGAATATATGTAAGAAGTTAAAGACCAAGTACAAGAACGCAATGACGATTATTGTGTATAAAAAAAAACTAATTTAAAATACTATTTTATAATACTAATTTAAATTAGAGCTCCTTTCGTTCAGGGAAGTACTGCCACCTTGCCTATTTCAACCGCCAAGCGGTAATATGAGCATTACTGCGTTCTGATTTTGAAGGGTACAGGGTCCTGGCCAAATTACAACCACGTGAGACACCTTATGTCTCAGAGTGACGGGTGCAGTGGTAGCGGCTCTCAGATCTTTACGATTTAAATCTCTGAGTGGTTCTACGGACAGACGTGTCGCTTAACACCAAGCACGAATTGTTCGTCCCGTCACCTTATGTCTGTCATAAACAAAATTCCACGTTAAAACCTCGATCGAAATAAAGAACATCGGGCACATAAATAACTATTTTGAAATAACGTAGCTAACTGCTGTCTGACCTCTTCATGCCGAGATCCTCGACCTTCGATCTCACTCCATTGGCAATCATCTTAGCCCAGTGCGGCGCCTGGTCCACGCGATACACCCGCCCCATCAGCTGTTCTTGCATTATTTGGATTATGATCTCTCGCACGTTATCCGCCTGAAACCTGTGCTGAATGGTATATTGAAGATACTAGGGCCATTCATAATATTAAATATTTGAAAACAGAAAGAATGTCATGTCGCAGTATAGCTGCAATGTGAATCCATAGTATAATAAGAAGACAAGTAATCCAACTTCCGCCTGTTCGTCGCGTCAATACCTACGCGTCACTCGCACATGTTGGGTTGTCATTTTATTATTTTATTTATTCCTACAGGTTGTAAATACAATTTGAAAACACTAAGGTGTTCATCACAGCTATATGCAGGGTTATTTTAAAAACATTAACAACCTCGCAGGACTATATTAGTAACATCATAAACAAACACTTTTGTTCCATGACTTTTGATTCATCAGATTTCACTTTCATACAAAAATAAATGGATTTCAATTTTCAATAGATCGCTCTAAACGGTAAGTGGGTATCGTCGCGGAGGACGCTTGCGCGTTTGAACTTACCTATCTACCAAACACACATTTAAAAAGTGCCAGATAATACAATAAAAACTTAAAAGTTTATTTTTGGTAAATTTATTATGTTTTTACAAAGTCACGGAACAAAAGTTGTTGTTTAAGTTGTTAGTAATATAGTCGTGAGAGGTTGTTAGTATTTTAAAAATATATAAGCCTATGAAATTATAAGTAATTAGTCGACAACTGAAAAAAAAGGAATTATCTATATTTTAATTCGTTTGGAAACACAGCTGCCCTTGATTTGGAAAGTATTCGTTTGATTCTATTGACATCAGAAGTCATCCAGCAAACGTATGAAGAAAATGAAACTTACTTCTCACCAAGTTTTGGTCGTATTTCATATTTGGGTGGGTCGAGAGGCGTAACTTTAGCGGGCGCGATTTCAGCCTGACTTTCAGTTATGGCTTCTGTTTCTTGTACTTCTAAACAAGACACATAATAAATAAATTCAAATTAATAGGAGTACTATTTTTTTGTCGAACTTATATAAAAATGTATTTATTAGTAAAAAAAAAAGAACAGTTGTAATTTAATACACATATAATTATAATTGTCATAGTACAGGGTCAAGAGCACATCAAGCTTGACACTTGAGACTTAAATCCAACTCTATGCCGCTTGCGATAAGAACGGCCCAAAGTACAAAGTGTCAAGCTTGATGTGCTCTTGACTGTACTAAAAAGTTACACTCCAATAATAAAGTGTCATATTTCAAAAAGCAATTTTGGGAAACTGATTAAGTTAAAAAGAAAATAACGTGCTTTGCACATATATACGGCTTTTTATTTATTTATTTTGCTTTACCTTTGATGATTGATTGATAAGAGTGTAGCAAATTACACTTAAAATTAAGATTAGAATTCGAATTAAAGTAAATTTTAGACTTGAACATAATTGATTAACATCGATTTTATATTTATATTGACGCTGGAAAGATAAAACGTCTAACGTGCATTAGGAAAATATTACTAGAGAGTGATTTAAAATATCTAATTTTATTTGTTATATTGAAAAGGTGAAATTTTATAGTTTTCCGTATAGCAAATAAAATTAAAGTTATTACTTTTTTCTTAAAAAAAAAGTTTAAATCATTCTCCTGTAATATTTTCCAAATCCATGTTAGATGTTTTACCTTTCCAGCATCTATCTAGATCTGTATTACAATTTGTTACATTATTATTATGATAATTATTTACAATCGTCATTCAAGAACTCACTTACGGAGTAGTAGCACTTAGATAACAGTAAATTTTTAAACAGGTGGCAGAAAGATTTATCCCTGATTTCTTCGTTTATTGTATCAGGCATTTTATTATAGATTTGTACGACTTTAAAGTGTGGGTAATACCATCTGCTAGATGCTACATATAACAAAGTTTTTGACAAACGATATTTTTTTCTTTCATATACATATATATTTTTTGTAAACTTTCTCATTAATATTACTTTCCAAATTAAGTCACTTTATTATAGAGTATATTATATATAGTGGTATTTGCACCTGAAAAATAGCAACTGAATTTATAAAGAACAAAGTATTGGATTTATAACAAAAAAATCTGTTATCACATGTTCAACTAGAGTTTATAAAATTCTAGCATCATATGAATGGTTATTTTGAATTAATAAATCTTTTAACATACCTTCGTCATCTGCCATCTTAACATTCAAATAATTAACATTGCCTGAAAAAAAGAATCAACAATTTGGTAAAATTAAACATTAAACAGTTTTATAACAGATATATATCATTTTCGCAAAAGAACAATTTTTATTTACTTGTAACCATAAGCATAAAAATATCTCAGACTGCATAAGGCTAAAGCAATGCAGTCCTCAGCCAGACAGGCATGAAGAAAGAATCAACAACAAGGAAGATTGTCATTGAAACATTATTTTCTTGTATATGCCGCTGAATTTAGAAGTTCGGTTTAAAAACTAACATGGGACTCATCACCATCCCTTCAGATTGTGAATTGTAGAAAATGTAGTGCAGTCATTGCCCTACACAATTTCCAATTACATCCAAGAAGTATGATTGGATAGGACTACATTATTTGGTGTAAAATGTCCTTTAATACTGTGTGTAGTAACTATTGCTCATTTACGTCCTTAACACCCTCTAATATTTCAGGATACGGAAATGATGTATCGTCTAGGACAAGCAGCTATGAATGAAGGACAGTATGGCGAAGCTATAAAGAAATTTACAGAAGTAATGAAACTGTATGACGCAACCCTGGCACCACCATACAAATCATTCTATGACTGCGTACAAGACCTTAGGCGTAGTATGCTATCTATGGGAAATTACAGTATTGTTTAATGTTACACCATTAATCAGTTTATTGTTTCGTTTTGAGTTTTCTTTTTGTATTTTGTAAAGTGTGTTTATTTTTGTTATACCTGTGTGTTATTTAAGAAGTATAGAATTAAATTTTGCTGTGTTACTGCTCTTGTATTTTTTTCGGTAGATAATTAATTTGAAAAGAAACTTAGGGTCGCATTCCAGAACTCTACTCAATGCTTAAGTTTGGACTTGAGTATGATTTGAAGCACTAGAAATCATACTCAAGTCCTTGCCATTAGGGTCGTATCGTCAGTGCTTTAAATCATACTCAAGTCCTTGCCATTGGGGTCGTATTTCCAGTGCTTGAAATCATACGCAAGTCCTGACTTGAGCATTGAGTAGAGTTCTGGAATACGACTCTAAATGACTGTATTCAGTAGAAGGTATAACATGTCTAACCTCAAAAAATACCAACAGATATATATATTTTAAACAGTAAAAGTAAATATACGTCACCTCAATCAATTTAGCTCATTTTAGCGATTTTCGGCATAATTTATAACAATTTTTATTAGATAAAATTTATTTCAGGTAAAAACAAATAGTTGTTATGACAACGGGATTGATTTTTTTTTTATTTATTAAGGCTTTGGCAAAGCCTAAGAGCCTAAACATGAAGTTTAATGAATGATGTTTCTGTAAATATGGCCGCCACAAATCGGATAGGCAATTTGAGGCGGCGGCGCCGGCGTGCTTGGATTGACTCGGGATTCCTTAAAACGGGCCGAGACGGGTATACTAGTTCGAGGTTCGTATAATTTCGCGTTTTAATCTTCGATTAAAGCACAATAGCACTATCCTATACCACTTTAAGCTAGATTTCACAAAATAATTGAAAGTCAAAATAAAAACGAAACTTTTCCCTCCAAAAAGTCCAGAGCGAATCCAACGGGATTGACACTAAATTTGCTAGGGTTTCACCATTCCCAAAAACCGGTAGAGTCAAGAGCGAGACTATAATCTCGTCCGGACTAAATCATGATAGGATAAAATAGTAATACTTTAATAATTTCAACAGCAACACTAACGCGCGTTTCATTTAAAACTTGCAAACCTAAAAAGAGATCAAAATATACTTCTGTAATGAGTGTAATAGTAGCAGGAATACCAGGCGTACCACACAACAAAACCAAAACTACTAATGACATTGGAATTTTGACAGCTAAAAAAATTACAGGAATGTTGTTTGGGAAAGGTTTGGCATGGCTGTAATTTTGAAAAGAAAGCTGAAATTCACGATTATGTTAGTGTGAAAGTTAAACAATAGGTATGGCTACGTACGATAACAAAATCTGGCTTTTAAAAAACATACGGAACGCCTTTATCGCCACAGATGACACTAGTTTATGTGAAATAGTGATGGCAGGGGAAGATTTCTCAAAAATCTTTAGATGTAAGTATATTAACAACATTTCCCTTGATCACAAACAGTTCTTATCCTTCTGTGATCAAAAAATGTTTTTCTAATGCAGTTATAAAATCACATAGTGAAGATTACTTGACAAATTTAGTTTCTATGATAAGAGCTTTGAAAGGTGGGAAAGTCTGTAATGTTGTCCTCAATTAATATTTTTATACATATTGGTTAATAAAATAATGTTTCAATGATATGGAACACATTATTATAAAATTATAGAAGGAAACACATGCTTTTTTTACCAAATTAGGTCAACCCTGCACAGTCACTATTCAAAGTATATACGTGTGATAAAGTCTGCGTGGCCGAATTCTTATCGTCGAACATTGATTTTGGCGCCAGTCACACAATAAGAACGTCTAGCAGACTGCAAGGAAAAAACATCAACAAATTTAAATATTGCAATAGAGCTAGATGCAACACCTACACACTCCACACATTAAATGCAAATAGAGAAGGGAAAACTGCTTATTTTTAAAACGTTTAAATGTTATGCTTTTTTAAATGTTTTTTCTCTTAAACGCTTTTTAGTTTGAAGCTAACAAAACCGTTTAGAAAACGTTTAAGCGCATAAACTTTATATGACATAACATTATTATATTAACATTTTGTTCATTGGCGTTTAAAAACATACATAAACATACATTGTTTAACTTTTGTAGTTGTTAACCGTTGAAATGGAAAAAACTTTATTATTTAAATTTATTATATAAAACTTATTTTATTAACATTGAAATGTATGTTTAAAAAGCGTGCTTGTAAAAGTGCTTTTCACTTAAACGCTTTTTAGTTTGACTCTTAAAAAGTCATTTAGAAATATGTTTAAGCGCATAGACTTCATGTTTAAAAAAGCTTGCAACGTTATGTTGAATTAATTTGTTTAGGAAACATAGATGGCGCTACTTGAAACTTAGGCACATTGTAAAAAATTAAATTATTGAGTATCTATAGAACTAACCAGTGACCAATGCTTATGTTTAAAATGAAAAGCGTGCTTATGCGCTTATTTTAAAAAGCAGACTTTTAAAGTGCTTTTCGTTTAAATGCAAATATTCAAAAACAGGCTACACTATAAATCTATAACACTATATAACATAAGCTTACAGAACAGGGGGTCTACTCGCATTCTCTGTCCGACATCTTTCTGAAATAATTACTCTCAAATACGTAATACTCGACCTAATTAAAAGACAATGTCAAGTGTGAAGCATCATGTGCATCATGTAAAGTCGGAGTCAGGCTCTAAACCAATGCTGAGCGACATCTGTCACTCAGTGAACGCTAAGACTGTCCCCCACATAGAAATGATTTAGGTTTTTTTTGTTCTATGTATATCTTGTTTCATCTTATTTTGTATTTTATGTGTGTGGAAATAAATGAAAAAAGAAAATGGTTTAAATGGTAAATAAAAGATGATTCATGGGATAAGCCTTTTCACCAACTACTGAAAAATAGATATACATAGAAACACAGAATGTGTGAAAATTTTAACTATTTGTTTCTTTTGCATTATTTATTAAATAAGCCTTTTAAGCTGAGTTGACTTTTTACATTAGAATTTTTGGTAACACTTTAAATTTTTACATTATATCATAACTGAGCGTGCCTCTTGGCAAAAGCCTCCTCCAGATCTTTCCAGTGAACTCTATCAAGAGCTTCTCCAACGCTTTACATAATATTGAATCATGTAAATTGCTATAACTTTGTGCAGGGTTATGCACGAATACCTAAACTAACCTATCAATAAACGTGCATGTAAGCAATAAATATATAAAGAAACTTAATAAGAGTACTCTGTTCTAGCGACACATACAACAACAGGAGAAATAGATAGAACAAGGTCTGATGAAGATGATGAAAAGGAATTTGTGACCCAGTTTGACCCATACCCGGACATGGAAGACAGTGAAGATGATGATATCGGTGGCAGCTATATCCGTTATGAAGAATTTGGTGGACATAGGTACATCTTATTTGATATCATTTATTTACCAGAACACAGTGATGGTAAATGAATGTACAAATAATAATAAATAAATTAACCTATTTGAGACTAGAATACTTAAGTAGCAGTAGAGCCCCTTGTGAAAGAGTTTGTCGAAGGAAGTACTGCCACCTTACCTATTATCTAATCTACCAACAAGCGTTGATGTGAGCATTACTGATTTCCGGTTTTGTAAGAGTGCTGGTGAAATTAAAGGCACATAGGACTTGTCAACTTATGTCTCAGGGTGACAAGCGCCGTGGGAGTGCCCTTCAGATCCTTGCGATTGAAAGTTTTGAGTGGCACTGCGACTGTCATGGACAGGCGTGTCGAAAATTAAAAATAAAGACATTGGCATTTTTTATTTGTATGGCAGCACTATATGAGTCCTAGGCAAAAGTTACCAGTTTGTCACGATTAGATGACAATAAAGAAGAGCTGAATATTACTTAGGTCAATACATAGATTTAGGTTTAATTATCACTCAGAAGTACAAAAAAAGATTTCTTCCCTTAAAACTTATAACACCAAAAAATATTAATTATTTAATTCTATTTGGACTTTTTTAATATTTCTGTGCAATTTAGAACACTTTTCTTTTTTTAAATTTCAGACAACGATCAAATACTGCTCAGTGGCTAGACAAAAAGGAACAAGCTTTAAAAAAGGCAGCAAAGATTAAAGTCATAAAATGGGAAGACCCAACTCAACTAACAGCAGACGATGTTGCAGAGCTATTCGTGAAATCTGCAGTTATAAAACCTACAAAACAAAAGTCTTTATTAGCTGAACAACTTGAAAAATGCCCAGAATTACCTCACCACCAATATCTGGAGTATGCAAAGTTTGATGGAACCGCACAACTAGGATTGCCAACAAAATCGTTTAAGATATTCATGACAATGCTGCCAGAAAAGCATCAGAACTATCCTCTAGTTGTGTGTGTTATAGCCAGTGCCAAAATTAAGGATTTGATTGGATTCACATGCTATAAATACAGGTATGGTTACAGATATGATTCTATAAAACTTGTTGTTTAAGACTGAGTTAAGGTGTCTAATATTTTTCAAATATTTCAGCATTGAACACCCTGAAGCAGTACTAGGCTCTGTCCACAACTACGGACTTTGTATAGCAGAAGATGACGGTGAAGTTGACTGGGCATTCCCTTGTCTCGACTCCAATGAACCGTGCTCAAAGTTTGGTTTCACATGTCTCGGCCTAGTTGACTTAAAGAATAAAAACTCTTTAATACAGCCTCCCTTACCTTTACCTGAAGAAGGAATGACTTTTGGTGGAGTGTTCTCAGGATTCCCAAAAGCAACAGATTCTGGACAGAGTAACCAGAATCCTTCAAGACATAATACTGGTGGGAGTGCTACTTCTGAAGCTGTTCGTAGGGCTTTGAATGCTGTTAATGAAGGTAAGGAACAATGTTACTGTAGCTTGACTGTGCCGTAAGCTTAGCCCTAGTCAACAGAGATTAATATTATTTTTTATTTATGGCACACGTAAGACACAAACAATATAGAAATTAAAACACATTAATACAGTTCAGTACAGGCATATCTGTGCCCAATTGTAACTGTGGGCGAGCACTCGGGATTTAACCCTGTGCTTTATTAAATCGGGTTAAAACCCATTATTACCATAAATCGAGGCGTAATATTTAATAATAAACGTTTGTTAGAAATCGAGTTTTGTTCAAATGTAATGATATTTTACAAAATGTTTATTGCTTTTTGATCTAGACAATTCCATTTGCCTTTCTATTGAATTAGTTCTCTTGAAAATCGAAGGAAATCGATAAATAAAATCGTTAGATAAAATGCACTTGAATCGATTTTCACAAAAATCTAATCGTAATGTGCAGCCTTAGTAGTGAGAATCCACAGGATTGCAAGGTGGGTATTATTGTGTGGAGTTGCCTCTTTTTCGTCTAAAAAAGATTTTTTTACATCAAAACTTGTAATAAGTATGCAATGCCAAATTCCGTATTCGCCGTTTCTGCTCACGATTTTGGGCAGAAATGGAATAGAATCCGGCGCTGTGGGTTGTGGGTAAAAATTCAGGCGGGTTGATTGGGCTTAACCTGGCCATTTCATTATTTGCGAGACGTGAGAGGAGAATCTCTTTCGACCAACCCATAGTATATGTTGAAAAGTTCATGATGAGAATAAACTCAACTGATATTCTGGTCGATGCCATGTGGAGTTATATTATCAACGATTTTTACTTTTATTCCAGAAAGAAGAGCAGGATTTGATGCAGATACTAAAATACGGCACATAATGACGGCAGAAGCGCCACAATACAAAACGTATAAAGTGCAATTGTTACGAAAAGTCAGAACGAATATACCGGTCCAACTTGGAATATCATTAGATAGGATAGAAGTTGAACCACTTGTTGCACAAAAACATGTTTTTTGGGTAAGTGTTCAATACTTTGACACATTGAAATAAAGCTTTCTGTCCAACCGTCAAAAACAGAAAAATGTCTAGATTCTGTACATTGATGTTGTGTAAAAGCTGTGCGTCCTTAATACCTTGAAATTCCTCCATTAATATTGTCTTTTGACATGAATGTATTTTTTTTTTTTTTAATTTTATTTTTTTCATGAAGAGAATGTAAATACTCGTATATTTTCAGTATTTAATATTTAAGTCTTTATTTCAAGTCTAAATGCAAAATATTCCACTGATTTGTGAAATTTTTACTTCAGGCTCGATCAAAGTACTTCCTGCACAGTATAGACTCTGTAGCCTGGTGTCAAATATTGGAAGCCAAAGCCAACAAAACTACGTTTAGGATAGTTTATTCGCCTAGTCATAACACCCCTTATAGTGAAAGAGGAAGTGGAGGTGAGTAATACCATAAAAAATCCTTTATAACACTAGAAAAATAACTATAAGTCTGTGCCACATGACAAAGTAATAGGGGTTAAAGTATGAAATTGCCGATTTGTACTGAAAATCTAAAATTTATTTAATCAAAATAGTTGCCATTATTATCTATACATTGCTGCCATCTAATGGGAAGGTTATTAATGCCTTTGCGATAGAACTCCGACGATCTAGACTGCACAAACTGTGTGAAAGCATTTTGTACTGCCTCCTGGGAAGAAAACTTCTTGTCACGTAGATAATTGTCCAAATCACGAAAAAAATGGTAGTCCGTTGGAGCAAGGTCTGGTGAATACGGAGGATGACGAATGGTTTCTAACTGCAGTTCCTGAAGGGTCAAAATGGTTTCTCGTGCTGTGTGAGGTCTCGCGTTGTCGTGGAGCAATAATGGTGAAGATCGATTCATGAGTCGGGGCTGTTTTACTGCTAGTTTTGTCAACATGGTTCGGAGTTCGGCACAATAGACATCTGCCGTTATTGCTTGACCAGATCGGAGAAAACTATAGTGAATAACACCATGCTGAGACCACCAAACAGTTACCATTACCTTTTTATTGGTAAGTTTTGCTTTAGGACACTGTTGTGGCATTTGACCTGGGGTCAGCCATTGCATTTTTCTTTTCCGGTTATCATAAAGAATCCACTTTTCATCACATGTTACAATTCGATCCAATATTCCTTCATTTCTGTACCGGTTCAACAAGGCAACACAAGTTTCAACACGCGTTTCTTTCTGCAGATCAGTCAAATCATGAGGCACCCATTTTTCGTATTTTTTTATTTTATTGATTTGACGCAAGTGAGTCAATATTGTGGGTAAGGTAACGTTAAACCATGCCGCTAATTCCTGGGTAGTTTGACTAGGATCGGCTTCCACTATCTCTCTTAATTCATCGTTATTCACCTGTGTGGGCGGTCTTCCTCGTGGCTCGTTCTTTAAGTCGAAATTTCCATCACGAAAGCGTTTAAACCAAAATCGCACGGTGCGTTCATTAGTAGACCCCTCTCCAAACGCAGCATTGATATTGCGGGCTGTTTCTGCCGCGTTAGTTCCGCGTCGGAACTCGTATTCAAAAATCACTCGAATTTTCGCAGTATCCATCTTTCTTGTCTAAATTGAATAACAAAAACAATTGAAAGTCGATATTCAAATGTTTCAAATTTAAAAAAAAAAATCACAGAAACCATTTGAAAAAAGTTTCATTCGAAAACCTCAAACCATGAAGATTCTATGAAAATTCAAAGAACCTATTGCAATAAAACGGCAATTTCATACTTTAACCCCTAATACAATAAACCAGCAAGCGCCTTATCTCGGCGTAATTTGTACCCTTTTTTTAGTGATATGACGAAACGAGCAAGTCGTGCGCTTGGTGGTAAGTACGTAAAAAGTAAGGTACTTTAAATCGTAAGAGACCTTGGGGACACTGCCACTGCCCCCATCACCTTGAGACATAAGTTGACAAGTCCCATGTACCTGTAATTTCACCAGCACCCTTACCCTTCAACACCGAAATGCAGCCATACTCACATTAGACTGCTAACAGAATGACTGCATGTTTGCAGTTAATGCGTGAAATCGTAATCTCGGCTGCATGAAGTCAGTTTCGACTGCATTCAGTTAATGCGTAAAGTCGTTATCAACTTCCTGCCGTCGAAGTCTCGGATAACGACTTCACACATTAACTGCATGTAGTCGAAACTGTATGCATGCATCCGAGATCGACTGCGTGCAGTTAATGCGTGAAATCGTTATCAACTTTACGCAGTCGACGTTACGACTTCACGCATTAACTGTAAACATGCGGTTAATCTGTTAGCAGTCTTACTGCTTGGCGTCCAGAACGAACCTTTTCCAGATGACAAATTATTTTTTTTTTTTATAAATTTAAATTACCCTTGGTGTAATAAGGCCACATCTGCAAAATGACAACTTTTCTAAAGAGAAGTTTTAAAGATTCTACGAACGAAATTACTCTACTACTTTTGTTTGCTTGAACTAACTCTCCTAAGTTACAAAGTTTTCATAGATACACATTTTGTTTTGTGTAACGAACTACACGATCATTATTTTTATGACGTGTATGCATTGACTTAAAACCAACGTGTATGTGATGAAAAGCACTTTTGACGTATAACGAAATATAACATGTTGCTTCATTATAGCAAGGCAAGGGCACGAATTTTAGACGCATTTATTACGTTACAAATTTCTTGTTATTGCCGTTTTATGTATTGTAACGTACTGCATTTCTTCGTATTTTTTGATAACGAATTTGTACAGTAAATATATTTTTCAAAAACAGGTACATCAAATTTCTTCTATTCAAATATAACGTACAAGCTCCATGACTTCGAATGCGATCACGATACGGCCAAGGAGATTGTGGACAAAGTCAACACCATTTTAGACTTGCGGAACAGCCCGTGCCGTCGCGAATATAAGACTGCAAAAGAGAAAAAGCTTCACAGCAGAAGGAGTTTTCATTCAAAGCATTTGAGCTGATTTTTGCATTTAGTATGTAATAAGGCACATTTGTACCAAGTAACAATTTGCTTGCAAGTTGATAGATCAACATTTGATTATTGTAAAGTGGGGTTATTTGTGATATTTAAAGTAAAACTTTATCATATATACAAACTTGTATTCCATTACTACAGTACGCAAAATAGCATGGGAGTATAGGGAATATGTCAATTTGGATTTAGTTATTATTAGGCAAGTTTTTCAGGACTGTAGAATCAGAGATATTCGTATATCATGTTACTGTTTTTTTTTTATGAACCAACTTGCATGCAACTTGTCGCTTGCCCATGAAAAACGCGCCTCTACTTCGTGTAATGCAAGCAAACTTTAATGCGGTGAATTCTCAATAGTTCCTAGTGTTCTTTATATGATTGTGAAACCATGCTATATTAAATAACTCTCGTCTGAAAAGATTAGACTTTAGCCGCGCGGTAGACATGTAAACAATACGGCGCGGCAGACCGAGCGAGGTTTGTGAATTTAAACAGGGCAAAATTTTAAAGGATCGACATTGATTTATTCCTACTAAATACCGCTAAAACAACAGAATTAGAAGTTTCCCGTCACGTTTTACTCTGTTCGAAAAGACTAGGTGCATAGTCACACGAGTCGCATTTCGACTAATTTCCAATTGCTATTTAGTTGAGATGCAGTCGAATTGCAGTTCATGTGCCTACACACCAACTTGTATCTATAACCGTCCTTCCTCATGCCTAGCGCACCCAACTAGCTGCGCGAAGCGTATAATATAAGGATAATAAATTAACTATAAAAAGTTTTAACAAATATCGATCCATCTTTCGCCTAAAATGGAATATATAGTACGTGGTTAGCCTTATGATTATGTAACAATATAATCTACCTCTCGCAACACTGCCTAATACCTATTGCTAATTTTACCTATAATCTCATATGCATTTTTATTTGTGTGTAAATACTCTTAAGTAAACGCAGGGCTGAGTGGCTTAGTCCTGCCGGCTAAACGCTTATTGACTGAGCCGGAAGACAGAATATTAATGCCACAGGCTGCTCTTCGGGTAGCCAACTGAAGAACCGAGACTTACAACAATAAACCCATTAATGGTTCCACATTGTATTTTGGCTTTAGTGGAAACTTGCCCTAAAGCCTCATGGACCCTGCCGATAAATTCGCGCTTCAGCTATTTATCTAAGCATATTTACAGAATGTCCTGTAAGTGCAGTGGATATGCAAAGGAGAAAAAGCTCAAGTCGGAATTAACTTTTGTTTGTGAAATCTTTTAAAACAAACAATCACAGTGGAAAATGTAGGTGGTAGCTTTCAGTTTGCGCTATCACCTTGTATGTTATCCTACCATTTACATTGTCGCTTACAACGCTATAATAATGGCGTATTTATAAATTGATTTAACTTACTATTAATTAATTGATGAAGTGCTGTGTAATTTCATTCTGTGTAACATTTTTGTATCAAAATTAATTATAAAGTACGCCCATTCGCAACAAAGGGGACTAAATGATACCATATCTGTATGAAAACTCTTCGAGTCTTCGCTAGTGCGAATTTGTCGGCGTGCTGCATAGTTATTGCTAAAATATGGTCCCAGTAAGTTCAACAATTTTGTTGTCCAGTATCTTGAGTCTATTACTCAGCCATCCCAATGCATTTTGTTATGTTTAAGTTAAAGTCCAATTGGTTTTGGATAGTGTAATGTTTTGTATACTGTAACTTAAATGGGTTTGGTCGACAACTTTATGTTGAATTTTATAATTTGTGTAAATATGTATATTATACAAAAAAACATTATCATTTTTTTAATAACTTATTTGAATTTGTAAGTTCCAATTCGTTTTAATAGCGTTTTTATATGTTATGTGAATAATTTCAAAGTATTATAAGTAGATTTTGATTAATTCCACCGAATTTAGAAATATGTAATAAAATGATTTTAAATTTGTATTCTATTCACCAAATAATTTTATTATATTCTTAAGAATTTTATCCTCAGATGTTTCTCAGTGTTCAATTAATTATTTATCGATGAATTGTTATGTGATTGTATTATTTTAATTCCAATGTATGAATGTAATTGAATTGAATGTAAATGAAATTGTAATTTACAATTATGTAATTGTTGAAATAAATTGTTAATCAATCTTGTTTCTTTTTGTCTTTCTCTTTTAACGGGATATTAACATTTTACCCAATAACAAAACGAACAAATAATTCAGGATTAGTATGAATTTTATTGCAATTTACGAGTATATACAGTTCACTAACTTACATATCTTACACTAACACATGTGGTGTGATTAAACCCTTACTATTTACAGTAATTACACTAACTTGAGCTCAATTTATATTGCGGCCGAGCGGAATGGAATTTTTGTAATGACATTGTACAGAGCGTAATGAACTTTATGGTCAATTGTGTAACATACCATAATTAGGTACGTGCCAAAAATTACGTCGTGCGTCTTCTGCGGAATGCTTGACTACACTCGCGCATTCGCGAGAATTCCGCAGCTGCCTTCGGCCACGCCTGGCGAATCCGCAGGAAGTGGGCGTGAAGGCAGGCGCAGTGTGACGTCAAAAGTCGACGAAATACTATAGCCTAAAGACGCAGTGGCGCGAATGCTCGAGCATTCCTGCGCCTAAGCACGCCTTCTCGCGCAGCGAGGCGAAATTGACGCTTCCATTCCGTTCCGCCGCAATATAAAGTGTAAAGTCGAATAATAAAAATTAATGTTTTACTGTTCCATCAGCAATGTAACATAATTAAATACAATAATTATGGCATTATTTATGTAGAATCCCTATAATTCTGTACATTGATTCAATTTGCATGGAAATATACTGTTGTAATATCCATAAATTTAATAATAATAATTGTAGTAGTTTTGTACTTTACTGTTTTAGTTATATGCTTTACTGCCCACAACTTTGACAACTTCTTATAATAAATAATCACTATGATCTATGAGGACATATGACTAGACTAGTAAGTCTAGGACATAATTTTTTTTCCATATAATGCTATCAAATTTCATTGGGCTCCCTCCCCAAATTTATGTATATATAATACTAAATGCGATTTGTTCTGTTATTGTGGTTGAAATAATTGCCATAACTCATACTATTTACTTTCTATTGTACTATTATCAATTATGTATTCTGTAATCTTATTTACTTTGTCTTCACACAGACTCAGTACAACATCATCAAGCTCACAAGCTCTTTTGTACAATGCTCGTGTCTCTTTTACTGATTTATGTAACTTCTGTTGACTTTCCACTAATTTGTTAATATGGCATTTTCCTTTGATAAATTCTATGTCATCGTTTGAGAGTGTTGAATAGGACATCCGTGATCTACCTGATGCTTTTACTGCCATTTGGTATTGTCTAGAACAAAAAATATTGTAAATAAATTATATTTGGAAAGACTGACGCAAGAGGGAACCAAAAGAAGTACCCTACCACCATAGCAAGTGTCGGTCCTTAGCCCTTATGTATGTCTATTAGTATTGATAAATTGCACAATATATAGTAGCAATCTTATAATAGTACAACCTTTTGCAAAAATTTTATATATAATCAAGTAATCAGTTGTACAGGTTGATAAAGTTCTGTTAACCACTACTGATTAGTATTGCCAGATCATTCTGATATAGAATTTTTTAAATTTAAATAAACCAGAGTTTCTATAATAATCTTTTTTTCATGTTGTTAAAACATTCTAATATGAGAAGCAATGTAATTTTTATTTCATACTCAATATAGGTGGCTTGGTGGTGAATTGGTGGTACCATACACAGGGAAACAAACACATAGACATAAAATAGATGAAAAGCAATGTGGCTACAGATAGTGACAGGAGTTTATAAGATCTATATCTATAAGCATGCATAGATGCAATAAGAATGACTCAATAACCTGAACAAATTGTTATTCACAAAAAAACAACAAGATTTGAAATTTACATTTTTTAAAGTTTTTATGGCCTCAGTGGCCCAACAATTTGCACTGTGGGTACTGTATGAAGAGGTTCGATTCCCAGTATGACCAATTTGAGAAAATTGATCTCCTCTAATATGAATGAACTTTTCTTCTTTCTTTTCTATTTTGGTCAAGGTGGTCTGGATAATGGTCCAGATTTAATTCCGTTGCTCTGGCACTCATAGTAAAAGGAATTTCTTAATTACGGACCTGGCAATTGGTATGGTTTTGTGGCATTTTACCGTAAATAATTCTTAGGATAAATAAATAGTAATGTTTCATCAATTTTGCCACTTCAAGTATAATTTTGAAATTTACTTCCCTAAGAAAGAGAGAATTTATCTGTGTCAAGTTACTATTATTTAAGTCTATTTGTTAACAAACTTAGCCATTTGCAATTAAACTGAATTAATTTCAGATTGATACTTACTGTCTGAGGTCATGGTACATGTTTCGTCTATCCTTAACTTCCATTTTCCACTTTTCCTTTTCTGCAAGGAGTTGGTTATGATACCTGCAATAGAAAATACACATAGGTATATATATAAATAACCTTGTGTTAGGTTTAAATTGAGTTGTTCATAAAGCACACACCTCTGTAGTTCAGAGTTGTGTTTTTCTTGAACATCTGTGGTCATGTTGGATGAACTCGGCTCTACATTTTCGGATACTGGCTGTGGTACTGTAAAAACGACAACAACGACATTTTGTAACGTATTATTGAGCAAACAGAAATCTCAACAGGAATTATAAAGAAAATAGGACGCCAAAACAGTTTTTACAACGGAATCTACTAACTAAACGATTCCCGTCTTTCGAAGAATGTAGACCTTCTACGTCGAGGTGGGGATCGCAAAGATTGATGTGCCTCCCCTTCGTTCATGGTTTCTTCCATTCTGTTTACAGTTTTAAATTAAAAAATCTCAAAACAGAAACAACAACAAATTCAAAATTCATAAACTCGCCGTCACGACAAACGGACGCACAAATGTGACAGCAAATACGTTCGGATACTATGACTTCGTAGTCATAATCACAAAGTACTTATAATCACAACTTATAAAGTCGTCTATGGACTTCTTCTGACAAGATCGCGTCACCAGTCTCACACTCTACAGTTTCAACAACTAGAGATACTCCGATACAGCGAAAAATTTACCCTAGCCGGTTTTTTAATATAATATAGCTACAGTTGGGAAAAACTGCTTATATTTAAAACGTTTAAACGTTATGCTTTTTTAAATAAGAGTGCATTTTTAAAAGGCTTTTTCACTTAAACGCTTTTAAGGGTCGTATTCTAGAACTCTACTCAATGCTCAAGTCAGGATTTGAGTATGGCTTGAAGCACTCGAAATCATACTCAAGTCCCTGCCATTAGGGTCGTATTTCCAGTGCTTGTGTTGCCAGTGCAATCCTGACTTGAGCATGACTACTCAATGCTCTTGAGCATGACTACTCAATGCTCTTGAGCAGACTTGAGTATGATTTCAAGAATTGGAAATACGACCCCTAATGGCAAGGACTTGGGTATGATTTTCAATGCTTTAAATCATACTCAAGTCCTGACTTGAGCATTAAGTAGAGTTCTAGAATACGACCCTTTAATTTGAAGCTAACAAAATCGTTTAGAAAATGTTTAAGCGTGTAGACTTTTATTTTAAAAAAAGCTTGCAAAGTTGTGTTGATTGCGAAACTTAAGAGTAGGCCACTAAAGGTTTTATAATTTTATTTATGACTAAACATTATTGTATTTACATTTTGTTCATTGGCGTTTAAAAATATAAGTTGTTTAACTTTCGTAGTTGTTAACAGTTGAAATGCAAAAAACTGCTTTTTTAACGTACGTTTAAAAAGCGTGCTTGTAAAAGCGCTTTTCACTTAGACGCTTAAAAAGTCGTTTAGAAAAACGCTTTTTTAAGTTTAAGCGCATAGGCTTTATGTTTTAAAAAGCTTGCAACGTTATGTTGAATTAATTTGTTTAGGAAACAATACTTGAAACTTGGGTACGTTGTAAAAAATGAAATTGTTGAGTATCTTTGAAACTGACCATAACGCTTACGCTTAAAATGAAACGCGTACTTATGCGCTTATTTAAAAAGCAAACTTTTTAAAGTGCTTTTCGTTTAAACGTACACCTCTATATATAGCATAGATACAGAATAGGTAGATAAGGCATTAAATTGTCAATCATCGTTAGAAAGAGTAGGAGCTATGGCGAGTTTCGTAAGTGTGAAAGAGAAAACCTATTGGTTTTTGTCCCTGTTACGCGTATACGTTTTTTTTGTTGGTAACCAAAGTTTGGTGCCAAACAAACTTGAAGTGCTCCACTATTTTATTTAAAATACTGTGAAATCGAATGGTTTTTTTACTGAAAAACGTTTATATATCGTGCGTTTCTGTGATTATTATATTGTGAATATGGTGATTTGTTCAGTTTTGGGGTGTAAAAACCGCAGCGAAAGAAATGAAGAAAATGTATCTTTTCATCGGTAAGCAATGACTTTTATTTATGTAAATGTGCTTTGTCAATGTAAAACAACAAAACGTATTCAAAATAGGTACTTAATTTGGTTTTCAGGGCCCATAAACCTTGAAAAATTACATAAAATTAATTTTGTTTTGTACGCATAACCTTATGAAAATAAGTAGGGTCTCGGGCCTTTATCTTGTCAAATTAATTTATGTTAAGAATATTTAGTCGGGTTATACACTAATTAGGGATGTCAGACTGTACCGGTAAATTTTCCCAATTTTTCAGACAAAAATATTTTGTTGAATTGGTTTTAATTTAAACAAAAAAATACGGATACTCAAGATATTGTCATCTATTCTGTCATAAAATTTTTCGTTATTTTTCCAGTTTTCCTTTAAAATCGGATGTTGTGAAGAAGTGGATATCAAGCACTGGTCGTGTAAATTGGCAACCAAACAACTACTCACGGATATGTTCGCTACACTTTGTGAGCAGTTGTTTTCGCAAAACTAAAAAACGCATGTATCTGAAACCACAATCAATCCCGACATTGCATATAAAGGTAAATATTGATAAAAATTGTTATAATGATGTAAATGAAAGATTGACTATTTGACACAATGGTAAATGGATTTTGATGAGACAGTCTGTCTATCCACCTGTCTGCCCCAATTCTGTAATTTATGGCAACTCTGATTATAAGCATTATTAGTATCATCCTGTCAATAAAAGTGGGTAATCTGTTGTGTGATTCTAATGTTCTCATAGAATTTAGTATTTTTAGAGCTGTAAAAGAACCGTAATTTTTCAAATAAATGTGTAATTATTTTACAGGGAACTCAAGTTTTAATACTTGATGATCAGCCGAGTACATCAACACAGGCAATGCCTGCAGATATTGTCAATGAGGTTAGTATAAGTTCATTAAATCTTAAGATGATAGCCTTACGAACTAGCAGTAGACGTAAACAAATGATGTAGTGATGTTCGAAAGGTAATGCAGTGTGTTTTACTTGAAATAAAGAAATAAGACTGGACTTTGCAAAACAAATAAAAACAATTTTAGGGAATTTATGGCCAATTTTATTTTATTAATGATTATGTGGTACAAGTATGTATTTACAAAAATATATACTCATGTACCCATTGCTTGACATCCATATCACAAACTTCGTTTAAATCGGACTGGATAAGACATGTCCCAGAATATTAGTTTTTGATTAACCATTCGTTGCAGAACCTTGAAGATACAATAAATTTAACAGGACATGAATCAATGGATATAGCAATGGAGGTTGAAGTACATAGCTGTCCTGAGGCAGTAAGTGTTTTTTTTTTGTATGTGATGTCGTTAAAAAGTGGTATTAACAAAAATTGTAATATAATATATTACAATTTTTGTAATATATTATATTATCTATTTTACATGTTAACAAAAATGTAAAATATAGATAATAAAATCATGCATATTGTTATCTTCAGATACCTGACAACGTGGTTATTGAGCCGACGACGCCTTTGGTTACACCCAGAAAACGCAAATTAATAAAACAGTTAAAATCTAAGAGCAATGTAGCGCAAAATCGGAAAAGGAAGTTAGCTGCTATTCGATCGAAGACTTGGCGTCTTGAAAAGAAAAGTGCTGAACAGTCAGTAGTCATACAAGTCTTGAGAGCTAAATGTCTCATCAATCAGGAAACTGCGGACATATTAACAAGCATCAATCTGGAAAATAAAGAATTTATAAGTAGATTTCTTGGTAATACGAACAAAAGAAAATTTTCACCCGCACTGAGAAAATTTGCATTAACTCTGCATTTTATAAGTCCTCGGGCCTATCGCTTTGTGCGGAAGCAATTTAATACGTGTTTGCCGCACCCGAGGACTTTGTCGCGGTGGTACGAGACCGTTGAGGGAAATCCAGGTTTTTCTAAAGAATCATTAAAGGCTGTGAAACAACTTAGTGAACTGCAATCCTTAAAAAATCCTTCACAAAAGCTGTTTTGTGCATTATGCTTTGATGAAATGGCCATTAGAAAACATATAGATTTTGATGGCAATAATTGCATCGGTTTTGTAGACCATGGAAACAGCGTAGAGTCTGACCAACCAGCAAAGGAGGCACTAGTATTTATGCTTACTAGCATAAACGGGTCGTGGAAAATTCCATTGGGTTATTTTTTAATAAATGGGATATCTGCAGATCAGAAAGCCAATTTATTGAAAACTTGTCTTGAACTCGTGAATGAATGTGGTGTAAAAGTTATATCGGTTACTTTTGATGGATGTCCTACAAATTTTGCTATGGCTAAGATATTAGGCTGCTCAATAGAAGCCAACAATATTAATCCATCATTTTTAGTTGGAGATCAAAAAATAGTAATATTCCCAGATCCAGCGCATATGCTGAAATTAGTCAGAAATACTATGGGGGAAAAACAAATTCTCATCGATGATATGGGTCGAGTAATCTCTTGGCGTTTTGTAAAATATTTAGTGGACTTACAAGAAAATGAAGGTTTACATCTGGCAACAAAAATTAAGGAACAACATATAAATTTTAAAAAACAAATCATGAAGGTAAAACTAGCCGCCCAAGTTATGAGTCAGTCTGTGGCAGATGCTATTGATTTTTGTACGAATGATTTGAAAATTGAATATTTCCAACAATCGGGGGCCACGGTAGATTTTATTACTAATGTTAATAATTTGTTCGATGTCATGAATTCCAGAAACTTAAATTCATATGGTTTTAAAAAACCTATTAGCGAAGTCAATGCTACAAATATTATGGATTTCTTAGAATATGTGTACAAATACATATATAATTTAAAATTAGAGGGAAATAAAATCATAGAATCAGCTAGAAAAACTGGGTTTTTAGGGTTTTTGATTTGTATAAAAAGTGTACAGTTTCTTTATGAAAACTATGTGATAACCCATGACCTAAATTTTTTGTGTACATATAAGTTAAGTCAAGATCACATAGAATATTTTTTTAGTTCTATACGAGCTCGCGGCGGATTCAATAACAATCCCTCTGCAAGACAGTTTCGTACAGCTTTTAAACAAATGCTGGTTCATGGAGAGCTGAAGCACATAAAGACTGGTAATTGCATTCCTTTGCAAGAAATTGATATCTTGACATACAGCAGACCCGAAGTGGCCATAAATAAAACTACTTGCAGAGATCGATTAATTGAAGACGAGGACTGTTCACAGGGAACGTCTTTATTCATGGAGGATCATGACTATTTATCAGATCCTTCCAGGTTAACTGAGTATTCGATACGCGTAATAGAATACATAGCCGGATTCATCGTCCGAAAATTAAAAGAAGAAATCCATTGTGAAGACTGTATATCGTCAATTATTAATTCAGAAAAATACCCAAGCCTGCAGCTGAAAAAAGACAAAGGTGGGCTTTACTTCCCAACGAAAGATGTGGTCATAATTTGCCAAATCAGTGAAAAAATATTTCGGGGTCGCATGGACCTGCATAAAAAAAACCTGCCAATTGTTTTATCCCAAGTTTGCCTCAAAAATTGTGTAGGTTTATCACTATTTCCTAATAATATTCATTTCCAAAATAAGTCTTTATTCGACAATCATTATCCATTTTTAATAAAAGCTATTAGCCTGAAATATTTTAAAACAAGAATATATTATGCAGCTAAAAAAATGTCAGATCGAACAGAAAAAGTACGTAATTTTTATAACAAACTTGTATTATTTAAAGGACAGTAATATATGATTAATTGATTTATTTATAACATGGCTAGCTTAAAATAAGCAAACGTACATAAAACGGTGTCGCATAAACCTATTCCAGATTTTTCTGTAGGTACATCGCTGCATATCACATTGCCTGTAACAAATAGAAAAACAAAAAAGCAGAATAAAATTATATGGTAAGAAGATATTCGCAACGAGTCGCATTTGGAGCAAACTTGCGTGATTCATTTTTGTGGGAGTGTGAAACTATTCTTTCTGTTATAAATATTATACGGCGTGTTTAATTTTTCGATAGCAGTTTAGTTTATATGTTTTAGTAACTTTGTTTAAAATAAGTTAGGATTACGGGTTTTATTTACGAACGTTAATATTTCATCATCATCATATCAGCCGGAAGACGTCCACTGCTGAACATAGGCCTCCCCCAAAGATTTCTAAAATAGCCGGTTGGACGCGACGTGCATCCATCGGATGATGGAAGGATGAAAGATGTATGTCAGGACCGTAGCAAGTGCTCTGCTTACCCCGACGGGAAAAAGGCGTGAAGTATATGTATGTATGTATGTATTTATCTAATATGGACAATAACGTAACGGGGCGATAATTCCCGTATTCATTTTTAACTCCTTATAAATTGGCCTGACTACACTTATTTTAAGCTCGGGAGGGTATTTCCCCCGAGATATATAAGATTAGCTATTGCGCCTGAAATATTTTCCCATATTGATTTGATATCAATAGCTCTAATTTTATCAATTCCGGGCTTTGTTCGTGTTAATTGGTTTTATAATCTTAGTAACATTGTACGTATATATCAGTCAATATTGTCGACATTGTTACTATTTTATAAATAAATACTTATAAAATAAATGTAAATCCTCTATTAAAATTGTTTCTTTTCCTATAATTACTTTGTATGGCTTAATAGTGCATAAATAATATTAAAACACCATTGAAAACCTTTTTGATTTTTTTTAAACCTTAAGTTTTTGGAATAAATTATTGCGCAGTGCAGCTTTACTTTGACTAGTTACCCTGACGCTCTTTATTTAAGTTTTGTACAGCCAACAACACGAATATCGCCTTCAGCGCAACGGAACGCAAACCGTCAATGCTGCCGGCAGCTTATAACTTATAGGCCATGAATAATAAGAGGATAGAAAAGTTTATAAAAATTTCGATAGGTTGTTGAACAGCAATGCCGCATAAAAAGCCCCCAAAACGGGTAAACTGTTTTGTTATAGTGGCAACATTGATTGTTTACATGTGTGCATAGGAAGAATATCACTATCTCTTACCGTATACGCGATGAGCTTATCTATTTATTCTGTATCTATGATATATAGCAATGCTTTAACCAAATGGAACACGCATGTCGATATTTGACGTTTTGTTTGTTCCTCCATCAAACCGCTTTTGGTATATTCGAGTTTTTTGCATATTTTGAAAAAAAATCCTCGCATTGTTAAAATGTTTTGTTCTCGGAAGAGAACCTAACTATCGATGGGTAAGCTGAACATTTCCTCGTGTTGATTTAAGTAGTGCAGTTTCGAGTGTAAGTCAAGTAGTAATTGGTAGCAGTGTTTGTGAAATAAATGGATTTTTCTGTTGTTTCTCTATAGCAGGCAGTGATGGAGTTCAGTGAATTTAAAACTAATGAGATATTGGACCCGGTAGATGTTGAATATTATGCAAATAAATCGCGGACACCAAGTCCCACGCCGATACTCACGACAAATGTGCCCTGTGATTTGGAAGACATTTTGAGCGACGTAAGTACACAGGCGTTACTTTGTTTATTGGTAATTTGTCATCAAACCACCGTAATGTCACTTTATAGTGCAGTAAACAGATGATATGTACACGTTTAATTGTTGCCTTGGCCCCTAGCTTTCATCAATTGACTCATTTATGCAAATTGGTACAAACCAATTTGCCTCATCAGCTGATATTATATTCATGTTGATTCTATAATTAATTTTTAATTAATACATTTATTTCAAGTGTCAAATTAAACACAGAATTGCACATGCATAACTGTTATATTGTTATTTAATTTAATACATTATAGTCCAGTTTTGTGACATTTACATTAATTGTTTGTATTGCATGTTTTTTTTAATATATAATAGACACACCCTTGGCCACAATCTCACCTGATGTTAAGCGACAATGTGATCGATGATGGGATATTTCTAAATTATGTAGAAAAAAAAAATATAATAATAACAAAAAACTTACTATTCCCACCTACTAATACTAATCTCTCAACAAGGTTTTAAAAATAAATGGGGAAATTTGTCATAATGTACCAACAACAAATAATATTTTTGCAGTTTTGTAATTTTAAATAAAAATTACAGTATGTTAAGTAGAAAGAAAACGAAATGACAATTGGTTAAAAATAAATTACGCTGATTACCTACTTGATGCGGAAAACAGAATACTTTATCCATAGACATTTACACCAAATAAAATTGATAAAAGAAATCAGGTATTGTGTATCTCGAGTTAATACGAGTGCATACTCCTTGCACGCATGTCATTTTTGTTTGTTTTGACCTTTGTGTGATGTTTTTGGACTAATTGTTCAAATTAACTTTCATTGCAGTCGACTTTATGCTAGTTTTTGTTAATTATTTTATTTATTGTTTAGTTTTTTTGGCAACTTAATAACATAGTAATTGAATCCTTTTTATTATGTCTATTATTTGTTCTTAAATTACTTTGTAAAGATTCTCTCTTTGTTAAAAGTTATTTTGATAACATATTTAAATTTTACATCACAACATCTCTTGAAACTTCAAGTCTCAAACATCATTGGAATTATGCTATGTGAAATTAACTATAATTCCTAAAATATTATGACTAATAAACTAGGCTATTAGTGTGAATCCTCCTCATCAAATTTCATCACTAAGTAGGTACATTGATAATTGGATAAACAGGTATTAAATTGATGAGGAGATAAATTAGGAGGCACTTTACTTAAACCATTTGCTTAAAAAAGACCATGACTGGCAGCAGGAAGTGTACACAGATCTTAACCTCTTAAGACCCAGTTAACTACAATGGGAAAAGAGCTAATGTTCATTAAAGTGTACTAAATATAATTTACTTGGCTCAATCAAGCATGCCCTCAGTTTTGTATCTAAAATTTATTTTTCTAGATACCATATCAACACTAGGAATAAGCACTATGTTAACTTGTATGTTGTCAATTTTATGACACCAAAATTATTGCTATAAGTTATGTATGCCAAGATGCCATATTATTCAGGTAATTTCTTAAATTAAAAATTAAGAAAATAACTTGAGTAGGTACTGGAGAAGAAATAAATTAAATATAAATGCAGTTTTTGTTTATGATTCAATAGCCATCGCCAACGATTGGAAAGCAATAATAATTGCATACACAACCAATTACAGCATCCTAAAATCTATGAAATTGTTCAAATGTGCCAATTTAATTTATTGTGAGTGCTGACACCTTGTATGTGCCACATATTTTTTATTGTTCCCTGCTGTGTTTTCTGTTAAAGATATTTGTTTTTGCTATTGTTTTTATTTCTTGACTTTTAGTTTGTTTTGTTTAATATGGCTGTTGTTGCTTTGCCATGCTGAAAAGATTCAAAAGATTGTCCTCAACAGTCAAGTGCGGTAATTTGTAGTGCATCTAGGCAATTATATTGATAGTGAAAAACAAAATAATGGACCCCTCCTGCCTCTCAAAAACGTTGTATAGATGTATGAAGAATTTGTATTGCATTGAAGGCATAAAATCCAACTAAATTCAAATGCCATTTCAATTGATATTTTAATATATTTGAGACTCATAATGTAGATTAAAAACATTGATATCATATCACTAATTACCTAATAGGTTAAACTCTTGTTGGTACACACTATATATTTATTCATTAAATCATCGAAAACTTTTTATCAATATGCCTCACCTCTAGCAAATGCAGTCTAATGAACAGGGATTGGAATAGGTAGAGTTTTTTTACCTAAACTTTGATGAGCATAGAGAGAAAATGGAGACTGCCTTACAACAATATTTTTTTAGGACCTGGACCTGTTCGGGACTCGTGAAATCACTTAAGTACATTAAAAATTGAGGTGATTGGGGAGACTACTTACACTATATTTATCTTAATTTTGCGACACAGTGGGTCGGATCAGCGATATTGCGGATATTTGATTTTTTTTCACGAAAAAAATTGCAATTGAAAGATCCTAATGTCCTAATTAAATTTTGTCATGTCACATTTTGCCATAAATCAATTTTAGTAGGAAAAAAATAAAATGTGTGTTTGTTGTGTGTATGGTACCATACCTATAGTGCCCCATTGTTACAAAGTCAGTTGATCCAGTCTTGGAATCACTACAGACATATTATTAGACCTATCTTAAACATACACATAGGACATATTATTAAACCTGTGAATACGCACTACTTATACCTCCTAAAAAATATTGTCGTAAGGAAGTCTCCATTTTCTCTCTATGCTCATCGAAGTTTAGGTAAAAAAACTCTATCTATTTTTTGTCTAGGCTCCTCGAAGTTTAGGTAAAAGCTCTGCCTACTCCGATCCCTGCTAATGAAGTAATCTTTGTCCGTTGTCGTAAAGATAAATTAATTTAAAAAAAGTTTCTCTGCTCATTTCTTACTAATTTGATTTTACTTTACTTTAATTTTATGTATTTGCTTAAACAAAATCTATTCACTTAAAAGTGATACTTATAAAAATAGTTTATAAAATACGTAAATTAGTAGACATCATTACAAGGACATAATATATTATGTAGAATTTTGTGAAGTCTCACAGGGTTATCCTAGAAAATTTGTAATATAGTTCAGATTGGAATTCATGGATATGAATTTGATTTGTTTTTATTATATATGTGCGAGAAATAAAATATAAAAATAATAGAAAAAGTGTTTAAAAGCGAAATAATTTAGGCTTTTTCTACTCAGAGAAATCCAATTTTGTAATAAACTAATAATTAAAAAAGTATTTATATTTATTACAAGTGTAATTAGTGCACAAGTGAAATAAAGACTATATAATATGCTATTATTATTTAAGTATTTTAGTACGAAATGTAAAAAAAGCATTTAGACGTGTAGTATGAATATCAAACTCCATAAATAGATTGCAATTATGTGCTAAATTGCTAGTATATTTTTGTGCACTATTTTACAAATATATTTTTTATATATATCTCTCCTATATATATATCTCTTTTTTATATATAACCCACCCAACCATCGAATATTCGTGCAACAATCCTGGAAAAGCGCCGTCTAAGGCGAGTCTGGCATCAGTCGCGTCATCCGCTGGACAAATATAGATATAATAAGGCATGCATAGAGCTCAAGAGTATCATCAATGCATCAATCAACTCTGTAGTTAACACTAACTTGCATATGATGGACTCTACTGGACATGGTGAGCACTCACTTTGGAAGGCAACTAAAGGCTTAAATAGACCCCAACAACAGTACCCTCCTATCAGAACAGAAACGGGAACATGGGCGAGAACAGATACAGAAAAGGCGGAAGTATTTGCTAAGCACCTAGCTGAAGTGTTTCAGCCGAATGACAAAGTGACCGATGAAGAGTCTGACTTGGAGACAGCTCTAGCGCAGAACCTTCAAATGTGTTTACCTCTTAAACCTACCTCTCCAAGAGAAATTGCGCAAGGAATAAGATCATTACATCCAAAAAAGGCCCCGGGATTTGATCTTATCACTCCGAAAATATTAAAAAATCTCCCAAGGAAGTGCATTACATTTTTAACCTGTTTGTTCAATGCCATTCTCAGGACGGGTCACTTTCCATCCATATGGAAGATTTCCCAGGTAGTAATGATCCACAAACCAGGAAAACCTGAACAAGAGGCTTCCTCTTACCGGCCCATTAGTCTAACGCCTGTGCTGTCTAAGCTCTGGGAAAGGATATTACTCGCCAGACTCAAACCGCTTATGGATGACTGCTGTGTTGTGCCATGTCACCAGTTTGGATTCCGTAAGTCTCACTCAACTATTGAGCAGGTTCATCGGGTATACCACACGATCCGACAGAGCTTTGAACACAAAAAATATTGTTCTGCGGCCTTCCTCGATGTGCAGCAAGCCTTTGATCGGGTGTGGCACAAGGGATTGTTGGCCAAGGTTAAAGACAGTCTTCCACACTCGATGTTTCTTCTCATAGAGTCTTACCTGTCGGGTCGTTCGTTCCAAGTTAAACACAGAGAAGCGAGATCAAACATGTACAATATCCTGGCAGGCGTACCACAGGGCTCAGTCCTCGGCCCGGTTCTGTATAACATCTTTACATCGGACTTACCGATATCGGATAACATCACAGTTGCTACATACGCCGATGATATAGCCCTTTTATCCGTTGACGGGAATCCTGTTACAGCTAGCACAAATCTCCAACTCCAACTCGATCTTACCCACAGATGGTTCTGTAAATGGCGCATCCGGGCCAGTGCCACCAAATCGCATCATATCACATTTGCACTGAGAAAAGGAAACTGTAATCCAGTAAGACTTGGTAATGAAATATTACCACATTCTGATTGTGTGAAGTACCTCGGTTTTCACTTGGACAGACGTCTCACATGGAAGCATCACATAAAACGAAAAAGAGATGAAGTCAATCTCAAATATCGTAACCTTCATTGGCTCATGGGAAGAAATTCAGCATTATCAGTAGACAACAAACTTCTAATCTACAACTCGGTCTTAAAACCCATTTGGACATACGGTATTCAGCTGTGGGGTGTGGCTAGCAAGAGTAATATACTTTGTCTCCAACGAGTGCAGAATTGTATCCTGAGGGCAATAGTCAATGCCCCTTGGTTCACTCGTAATGAAGAGATCCATGGTCATCTAAACGTCATATCGGTAGCTGCTGAGATCGACCGACATAAAACTAAGCACAAAGAGCGACTATCCTGCCACCCGAACCCACTCATCGCGGAACTTCTAGATCCATCAACTATGGTCAAACGGCTTAAGCGAGGCCATGTTCTATAGTTGGGAGGTGCGGCACTGGCCGCATCCACCAAAACACGTCTTTTCTCGTTCAAAAGATTCGCTTATGGCCTGGCGGCCGATTGCAAATGAAGTAATCATACAAAAAAAAAAAAAAAAAAAAAAATATATATCTCTCCTTCATATTTGTAAACCACCAAGAGATAGTTCAGAAAATTAAAGAGTTATTGATGATAATAATAATAACTACAAGGCAATCGGTAATCATAGCAAGGGAATTCACTCAGGGGCACAACCTGACACATAGATCAGAATCAATTTAGACAAGCTCATCAAGCTCCTCATCAAGTGCCCACAGTGAAAATCATTTGATCGCCAGTTTATTCCAAGTCGTTATTATTTATTTATTTATTTTATTTATTTATAAGTGCTTTACATGTGTTGTCGTTACAAAAATATACTTATGAATATACTTATACAATCACAAACACATACTTTCAAGAACCTTATAGATTTTTTTTTAAACGGCTTTAAACCAAAAATATGTCTACCACTTCAACTAATTCTAAATCTCTCTATAAATTATGTACATGAATATTGTCAACACGAAAATGATTTTGACTCTTATTAAAGGTAAAACCACATAAGTGACATTTTCCACAAAAAAAAATCTCTAAATTATGTACCTGTTCTAAGAAAATCACCATCTTTCTGCAGGTAAAACTCTTATTAAGTTTATAGCTTTTTCGTTATTGAGTTTTACGTGCAGAAAGATAGTGATTTTCTTACCGTACCTATATAAATTAGAGACTTGTTTAAAAGTCACTTATGTGATTTCACCTTTAAACAGACAATATTTTAGTACTGACAATTGCATTGCACCATTTTAACATGACACTTAAATTCAACTCTATTCCATTTGCAATTACACAGTCCAGCACACTCTTGACTGTATCTAAACCATTTTCAATTTGCCATTGTGTCTGACACAATGAAAAAAAAAATGCTGCAGTGTTACAGGGTGGTTATGAAGTAGGCGTCGAAACTCAAGAGGATTTTTTTATGATACCAACTGACGGGATGAACAAGTCGTGCAACTGATGGTAAGGGACACGACTGTCCATAACAGTTGCATTGCCGCTCAGAGCTTTAAATGGCAAAGATCTGAGAGGGAGACTGCCACTGCACCAGTAACATTTCGATTTTGAAGGGTAAGGATGCTCACATAACTACTCGGCGGCAGAAATTGGTGAGGTGGCAATCACAGACCAAATAAATATGGCAATACTTCCCTGGTATTGTGGATATCAAAACTACCAAGATTCATTTACGTTTTTTTGGAAATAAACAATCTAAAGCAATATTATATGGTACCGAAGAAACTACCACTTTTTTGGTGAAATTACAGGCACATGGGACTTGCCAACTTATGTCTCAGGGTGACGAGCACAGTAGCGTTACCCCTAACATCTTGGCTATTTAAAGTTCTTTAGTGGCACTGCAACTGTTATGGACAGGCGTGTAGCTTACCTTCAGGCGCATGATTTGTTCGTCCCGTCAGTGGATATTATAAAAAAAACTGTATGACGAAAGATGCTCGCTTTGACGCTTATTGAGTATTAGCATAGACATCCTGTAGAGCTAGCATAGTAGAGGTCATCTTTCGTACATTCATTTAAAACACCTGACAAAATATGGTAAATAATAAAATATAAATGTATATATTATAAGCTACACCAGTTGACTCAAGGTGGATGTATCAAATGGACCATTTCACTCGGAAGTCTGTGATATTTACGTGCATTATTTCTTTTATTTTAGGCAATAGCAGAGAATCTTCAAGGATCTCTCCGCATAAGTCGAAGCCAGCTTATCAATCAGGAGCTAACAATACGTCCAGAAGCAAATATAGAGGCAGACGTACCTGACGGTCTCGACCTCTATAAGGTGATCTTCGAGGTAGAGAGTGACCCAGAGACAAAAGAGAAAATGAGCGATGCAGACGGGGCTACCGCTATCCAGGAAAATAATGCGCATAAACAGGTTAGTGGTGTATTGATTTATATTTTGTACAAATTGTTACATCTGTGTAATGTTGGGTTGTGAAAAAGTATATATAAAAAAAATTGTATGTATTTTTTTTTCCAATATTTAAAATTTTTCCAACTGTCTCCCAATTAGGTAGGCATAACTTAAGAATTTTGCAAGGTACAACACTGGTTTTGCTTCGCCTTTATCTCATTCGCGCTATTTCATCAACATTCTCATGCGCGCTATTTCATCAACGCCATCTGTGCTTTTGAACAAATATGTTTGTTTGCGACGTATGATGAATAGAACATGATTTATTTATTTTATTATTACGTTTATGAGCCACTTTTGTCCAATTGCTGGGATAATAATTTATTTAATTATGATATAAAAATATTAGAATGAAATGTAAAAAAACCATTGAGACGTGTTGTATGAATATCAAACTCCATAAAAAGATTGCAGTTATGTGCTAAATTGCTAATATATTTTTGTTCACTATTTTACAAACATATTTTTTATATATATCTGTCCTTCGTATTTGTAAACCACAATTTTAGGTGTAATAATGAATGAAGCCGTGGTAACCTAATGGTTTGACCTACTGCCTCTCAAGCAGAAGGTCGTAGGTTAGAATCCGGGCTCGCACTTCTGAGTTTCTCGGAATTTATGTGCGAAATTGAATTTGAAATTTATTATGAGGTTTTCGGTGAAGGAAACCATCGTGCAGGTTTCATCGTGATGGGCCAGTGTGGCGGACTATGGCCTAAACACTCGTTTGAAAGGAGACCCGTGCCCAGCAGTGGGACATAAATGGGTTGATGATGATGATGATGATGATGATGATGATGAGGTGTAATAGTGAAAATTTTCTTACCTAATCAGCTGGTTTGTATGACAAGCATTACAAGCGTTTTCAGTTCTCCACTTACATCTCTTCTGTAATAAACCACGCATAAAAAAAATACGTGGTAACACTTCATTAATCTCAAACAAAATAAAATCCATTTACGACATAATAATCAGTGTAACGTAATCAAAACGACCTAACGAACCGTAGTTACACATACGTTTTAATACGTAGTAAAACCATTTTGATGTTGGAATTTATTTGACCGTTAACCGTGCAATTAGGGCGTCGAATTCTGCGACAAATTAGTTAACACAAGGTGAGGGATTAAACTGTTCGTGCGCAAATAGTGTTACTGTGAGTTCGTAAATTACACTCCTGATACACGTAAGAATACAAATTTCTTAAAGTTGGAAGAGCACGGAGATATTTCAGTAAAATTTTGTGTGCTAGCGAAATCCATATTTTGTTCATGTGGCGGAATGAGTACCATAATGTATTTTCTTGAAATAGTCAAAAAAGCTATGAGGGGTAAGACCGTTACGGTTATTATGACAAACCTTGAAAAGGCTCTTTAATACCCGATTAGCATTATTCTCGTGTTTTAGTAATATGCGTTGTTATAATGGTCTGATGTACTTTTCTTTTTGGTCAGCCGAAATACTATAAAGCTGATTTGTGCGTTCCAGGAATAATAGCCTTAAAATGCTCCTACTATAAGTACATTTCTGATAAAAAGCAAGATTAAGGTGTTGAAGTTATTTTTGTGATCGTACTAGCTACAAATAGTTCAATATATTTATTTTTGTGACATTTTATATCTGTCTTAAATTATATTTCGTCGCTTCATTCTTTAGATACAAACTTTAACTAGGTAGTCCTTTTAACCTACAAGGTACCTCGCGGGTTTGAAGTATCGATTCTTTACCCCATCTTTCCAACTGTCACTTCATTCTTTTTTCGTGTGAGGCATCGTGCGCACGTGCCATAACGTTTTGTTAAAAAAATACTTTGCCGCCACATACTTTGACACCACTGTCAACATGCCGAAAAGGAAGCATGAAGAAAAAATTGAGCGATATCGTCGAAAAATCCAGAGAAAACGCAGACGAATTATCGGATGACTACGACGAAAATTCGGGTGAGTAAAAATTTGGAATCATGAAAAATAACGATATTCCCGTGTTTTTTGTAAAAATGCCTGTGTGTCATCACGAAGGTAGGTACCTTGTCATGCCAAGAGGTTAACCGTGTGTTAACACGATGGTATCACGTAATCGCTTAAGCGAACATAATTATGTACGTTACGTTATTCTCTAATAAAAATTCGAATCAGAAAGAATAAACGTACACCTGAGGTGGATCGTGTATCCTCGCAATGGCAATTTATAATGTTATGTATTTCTTTTTCGCACTTAACCAATGAGGTTAACCGAGTGTTAACACGTGGTAGCTACTTAAACTAAGTAAGTGCATATTTTTATATCCCTTTAAGGTTTAGCAACAATTTCGTTTTCCCTACCCGCCTATATTATTATTTTTTATTGGTAGCCACATTAGCGCAATAACTTTGTTATCGTTTCTTGTAGATGTCGAACAACACAATTACGCCGACCCAGAGTCCTTAGTCCTTAGATGCACTAGAACAAAATTGTACAAAACGGAGTCTCAAATAAGACGGATGGCGACCAGGAACAAGTTCCGATTTCGCAATTATACCCTAATATTCTCACCGCTTTGGGCGAGAGCATAGAAGAGGCGCCAAAGTTCGGCCCCAAAAATTCACGAAAATTTGTCGCGTCTTTAGATGCCCATACTTCGAAAAGGCATGAAGAAAGAAACAAAGGACACCGTCATCAAAGAACATTTGATTCCAGAAAATTGCCCATTACTACAGGCGCCCAAGTTAATCCCAGAGATTTCGGCCACCGTAGCTGAAGGTACGGCGAAGTGCCTTGTAGGTTAAAAGGACTACCTAGTTAATGTTTGTATCTACGAATGAAGCGACTCATATAATAATGATCGAACTTCACTTCAAGAAGCTCGTTTGATGTTATATAAGATATTCTATTATCCTATGCTTTTCGTTTTTTCACCTGAAACACATAATATAATTCAGAAATTTATTTATTTTCTACTACATTTCGGTTATGGACCCAGAGCTCAGAAAACCACTGTGCGTTTTTTGTATACAGATCCAGATATGTTACGATAATATTAATTGTATTTTTTGCTTGTGGAGTTGGTGCGTAAATATTTTTAAATAGTAAAAAATGTTTTTACGCATCGTGTCTGTGGGAGAGAGTTGTAATGCCATTCCAGTTCTGGAATTTTGCTGACATCCATCAGACCGTTGAGTGGTGGAACCCACAATGGAAGTTTAAGATGCTCATATATTTTTTACACGAAGACCTTATGGTCCGCAGTTGTGGGGCACGATCAGGAAGACAACATCTTTAGCCAACAGGAAAAATAGAGATCTAACAGGACACAAAAATAATTTCAACATAAGGTTCAGACGGAAATATGCCTGGGAGAAAAATTTAGCATCGGCACTCTCGTAAATGCTATGATAATATGACCCCAGCGCCGTTTACACCGTAATTAGTCGCTTAATTACGACACTTCAGGTTTCTTCCAATCAGATATGGCTATTCTGCCATAAGATATTAGTTGATTAATTGACAATATAGAGATATCTGTTTGAAAGGCGGCAAAATTGGTACGATACGCGACCATAGCAACAATAGATGTGACACGCAAAATAGACACTGTGACAGTGTTAGGGATGCCAGCCTGTTACACCATACCGGATCTAAATCACGTATATTTGATTTTCCAAACAAACCAACTTTTCGGGCTCTTTACAGGTCCCATGGTCACGCGAAAGTCCCTGACTGTGAAAGTCAAAGTCAGACAGTTGTATAAAAAAAAGTCAGCAACAAATATGTTATATGTTTTATAGATTTTAAGATTATCGTGGCTATTTACGATTTATTATCACTAATTTGTTGTAATTATTATACTAAAAAGAACTTCGAATTTTTTTTATGTGCTTTCTTTCTTACGAAGACAGTATAAATGTTCATTTTTCAAAGGAGCACGTGAAAAACTTTGGAATACTATTACTATTATGGTACCATAATCGTATAATTCCAAGAATTTAGATTTTTTTTCGTAGGCACATTAAAAAACGAAATTCTTTTTATAAATTAATAGTAAATAGCCACGATAGTCATAAAATCTATATAGTGTATATTTTTTGCCGACTTTTTATACAACTTTTTCAGGCCGAGACTTGCCCAGTCAGGCCTGACCATGGGATCTGTAAAGGGCCCGAAACGTTGGTTTGTTTGAAAAAACAAATCTACGTGATTTGGATCCGAAACAAAATACTTTCATTAACAACATGTTATAATCGGGAAAACCTAAAAACTCGTCATTGTTCATATTTAAACATTTTTTGCAAACAAAGGAAAATAAATTACCCAAGTTTTCAACCTGTACCACTGCTAATTTGCGAAACAGCATCTTGTTAACGCGAGTTGCGTTATCTCAAGTTCTAATTGATGTATTTTAGACGGACGAGTCATTGGACTGTTTATCTAGTTCATTGCAGTTTTAGAGTTGGCTACTTGAATAATATTAAGTATGTACATTACATACACATCATTACACCATTCTCCCACCGGGTTAGGAAGACGCCATGGACCTCCGCTTGTTACACTCCTGACAAACCTTCGCCTCGTCGACTCCTATCAGTTTCTTCGTACGTGCCCATTCTTGGTACTTTTAACCCGGCCTTCTTAAGGACATTCCATTTTTTATTGAGGTATGTACGCGGAGGTCGACCTCTCCACTCGCCTCCATCCACATTCGCTCTATTTTTTCTTCTACATGAAAAAAATACATTCTTTTCCATCGAAGCATCACAAGCACATGAAGAAGTAGTAATCAATATATTTACTTGTAACAAGAGCTTAATTTATACTAAATTGAGCCCAAAGTCTGATAGTAAAAAACCGGTAAAGCGTTCCAGGACCAGCTCTAGTCTCTAGTATTAAGTAAACAGTTCCAACGAAATACAGAGTTTAATATTAAAAAATAAATAAAAGGGGCTTGTGTTAATGTGTGTATAATAAGACTCACAAGACTTGTTCGT